TTAGTATCTCATATTAGAATAAGATGTATCGTATTTGATAGTTTAAGATAAGTGATTGTAAGTCGTGCATTCAAAATAATTTTAATAAATAATCATAAACAAAACTCGAACTCAAAATTTTTTCATAAAAAAAATAAAATTAACTGTTTGATCGAACCACTTATTAATTATTTCATATATTTTACTCATATTTTCATCACTTTGTAGTGGTAGATAGAAAATTTTGAATTTGTTGAAAAAAATGGGTCCCTGAATAAATTTAGAAGGGAATTGAGAATTGGGTGCCTAGGAAAAGGCCAACATGCTAAAAGTGCAACAAGTGGAGCTGCTGTGCCTGTGCATGACAGGACCATCAGATGAGATTTCTCCAAACCTTGAAGCTGATTCAGCGGAGTCTGCTTCTGGCCTTAAATATAGCAAAAACGTGATTTATCCCGAAAACATGATCTGGTTTTCAGATTGAAAAGCCAAAAGAATGTGCTATTAATAGATTTGAGGCAGCGTAGATCATATGCTAAAGCACCAATCATGCCATGTTGATACTCGTGATCATAAACAACATAGAAACACGGCATGAAAATAAAGATTTAGTTATTATTTTTTAACGATATTTTTAAATAAACACTATAAAATTTCGTATTTTTATAAGTTCAGTGACCTTTTTTATAAAATATCACTAAATTCTTATATAACAATTTTTGAATTTACAAACACTATTAAAAATATATTTTTATGATATTTTTTTATCTAAACGTTGTTATATACTTTGACTTTTATAAATTTAGTAATGTTTACGTAAACATCACTAAAAAAATAAGACATTTTTTAGGATTATTGAAGGTGTTTTTGATAAAAAAAATGTATTGAATAATAAAAAAAAATTAGAGTGGATTATTGAATGTATTTTTTGCTAGAAACACATTTAATAATCCATTCAAATTTTTGCAAAGAATTATTGAAAGGGCTTTTTGATAAAAAAAAATTACAAAGGATTATTAAATATTTTTTTAGCCAAAAACATCTTGAATAATCCCCTTTAATTTTTAATTGAAGGGGATTATTCAAATGCCTTAAATAATTTCGTTTAATTTTTTATAAAAGATTATTCAAAGAATTTTTTAGTCAAAAACACATTGAATAATCCAAAAAAAAGAGAAAAAATTATTTAAGACATTTTTAGGCAAAAAAACACCTTAAATAATACCAAAAAAAAAAGAAAAGAGATTATTCAAGATGTTTTTTACTAAAAATACCTTGAATAATCTTTAAAAAAAAAAAGTGAATCATTGAAGGTATTTTGGCAAAAAACGTCGTGAATAACCCCATTCAATTTTTTATAAGGGATTATTCAAAACGTTTTCTAGCCAAAAACGCCTTAAATAATCACAGTTTTCTGCTACTAAATTTTTCTTAAATTTCAAACCCGCGATACCCTATTTTTGCTTTTCTTTCCCCTACTCATATCTTTCATTTCTACTCATTTTGGTTCGTTTTCTTCTTCTTTTTTGCCTAAGTTTTAGTCATTTTATGTTCAATTTTTATCTTCTTTCCTTTCATCTTTGCAAATTTCAAGTTAGTTTTCTTGCATTTTGGGTAAAATTCCTAAACTTTTTATTTGATTTGTTGCATTTATGTTGCCGTTCAAGCTCAATTGGTAAGCTCTATTTTAACATTGGCAATTTTTAGTGTTTGGTTGTTCTTTTGCCTTTTTTATCAATTTATTTCTTTATTACAATTTTGAGTTTTGTTTTGTTTTGTTGGTGAGAAAAATTCAAAATAGAACAAAAAGTGAAAAAAAAAGTTTTTCTCTAAAAAACTTGAAATTGAACGTTAAATTTAATTACAAACACGAATGAAATTTTATGTTTAGTTTTTTTTCAACAGAATATTTTTTAAATTACTAAAAAATTGTTACTTGTTAATATAAATTTATTGATTTATTCAATATATCTTTAGGAAACCATCTAAAATAGTATGTTATATTTTTTTATCTCATCTTGGCATTTGTTTTGTTTGTTTTTCTAGATTATGGTGTTTGATGAAACGCCTTAATCTTGCTTGAAAGGATTCATTGTGCATAAAAACCATCGACAACAAAAGATAGAGAAAAAAAAAAAAGACATCTATAGTCATTTGTGAATACTGCATGGTAAAGTACTTGCTAAATACTTAATCTTTATTTGTTACATTGTAGGTTTCTAGATGTATGAATATTCAATTAAATTTTGTATAAATTTTTTGTTGATGTTATATTTGTTCATTTTTTACATTGTTTAAAAAATATGATATCAATACATAACACGTAATAGGTTTTTTTTTTTTTTAGCATTGTAATAGGTTATCACTGATATCGTCTTGTTATTATTTTTTATTTAATACTTAGCATAATTAAGTATGTTATAGTTCATTTTCATATAATTTAATTATATACTTTTTGGTTTGATAATGTAACAAGTACTAAATGGATAAAAGTTGGATACAAAAGTCAAAATTAAGTCAATAGGTTCTTGAGCACACTAATGATCAAGGTAGAAAAAATCTTTCATCAAATGGTAGTGTTTCAAATCTATACAGTCATCAATTTCATACTTTTAGATTTTAAGTTAATATACTAAAATAATTTGAATGTTATTGCATATATTAAACTTTGTGTTCCATCCATATTGGAACAAATTATATATTTATAATATTCATTTATGAATTTAAGTTTATTTTTATTTTTTTAATATTTTTTATTTAATGATAATAATTAATATTAAAAAATAATTTAAAAAATTTTCTTAATTTAGTGACATTTGTGCCTAAAAATACCACTAAATACTAAAATGTAATAGTATTTTTTATTATAAAATACTGATAAATTTAGTGGCATTTTATGATAAAACATCTCGTTAAGTTAGCGGTATTTTTTTAAAAATACTGCTATTTTTCTTGATGGAAGTATTACTGACACTTTTAGCGGCATTTATGACAAACGCCACTAATTTTTTAATAGTGTTTATAAATGTCACTGAACGTAAAAAAAACGTCATTAAAAACCTAATCTCCTATAATGAAACCTATGATTTTATCCCAGAGATTACAAGAAGATTTGGCATGAAATTTTGTGAGATGTGCTGGCCGCTTGAAGCCATCTACAAAGATTTTACTATCTTTTCACCTTCTAGGATTTTGGGTCTAACCATGCATCTCTAATAAGCAGCACCCAGATTGATTTTATTAATAAAAAAATGTGGATGATGAAATGAAAGAAATTCATCAATTAAATTAATATTGGAGGGCAAGGTAACAAGAAAGAGAAAAGAAAATTTCAAGGAAGAATCATACTAAATAAGAAAGAAAATATAGGAGAGAAGGTGAAAGCAAACACTGAACCAATATTCCCGCTGTTTTGATAGGCAGACAAGCGGACCAAATACGTTCTTCAACATGAAATAAAAACAATCTACTTTAGTTGAAAATCATGACATCCGCTTAATATAATACTAACGTTTGGAACTTGAAAGCAATTTAGCCCAAAACTATGAAACTTGAAAACAATATTAATATTTAACTGTTCTATCAAGAACAAACCAAAAATAGAAAAGACAAATCTAGCTGCTAGATTCTGTCTTATATTCAACAATTTATAATTAGTCTCGGTTTTATGTGATTTTGTGATGACATTTCAGCAATATCCGTGGAGCAGTGCTTGTACTTGTAGGCTTTAAAAGGAACCGAAACTTTGTCTCGAAGTTTTTGAAATGCTTTAAAATTTAGATACGTGCATGCCAATGGCACGTCAAATATGATGACAAGGAAACAACAAGTTTTATATTACCGAGTGCACATGTCACGAATTTAAGTAAAAATTTTGAATTTTACATCGAATATAATAAAAAAGTTATTGGAGTATAAAAGAATTCAAAACACCTCTCTCTTGTGAGGTATCTTTTGTAGGATAAAATCGTGAGATCAAGGGATCAGAGCGAACAATACCTCACAAGGGTGTGAACCGTGACGGTTAAACTGATTTAAGACGTCGGAATGGTGAATGTTCGGATCCCGAAATCGCATAAATTTAAAGTTTAAGTCTCGACCTATAACACACACATCCATATATATATATATATGATGCCGATGTCTCTCTCTTGGTGTATATGAGAAATTAAATCAATAAAATTGTTAAAACAAGAAATGTAACATAACTCACTTCGTCATGTAGATGACATGAGATGGATTTTAATTTAAGAATACTTTTCACAAATATTGAACCTGAGTCGATATGGAAAGAGAACTACTTTCCTTGGAGTTCTTTTTTATTATTTATTATTATTTTTGGAAGCTTTCGACTAAAAATTGTTTTTTGGATATTTTAAATTTCTTTTATTATAAGCAGTGTATTCAGTAATGGGCTGGGCCAAACGACGCACTCTAAAAGGGGAAAGAGCCCAACTTTTTCATAATGAGCTGAGCTGGGCCTCCTCAGAGCCATTGCCTCAAATAATCAAAATATTTATATTGTGAGGCCATTTCGGCCTAATAATACTATTTTGTTTGGGTCTTGGGATGAAAACCACTGTGATAGTCTGCCAAATTATACTTCTTAAGCTTCTTTAATTCACTGAAACACTCCTCTCCTTGCATAAACAGACAAAAAGAAAAGAATCATCTGTTGATTCCTCTCATCTCATATTGTATGCTGCCATGCAACCCTTTCATTTCACTCCATGCTTTTCCTTTATTCCCTTTCCTATGCTAAATCAAATCCAACACTTGTTCATCTCTCTCTCTCTCTCCAAAAAAAAAATAAAACGACCTAACTTTTAACCTTGTGGTTAAGAAACAAAATATTTAAAGCATAATTAGTGGAAAGGTCAAAACCATCACCACTAATTGCGCAGATTTTACAACCAAGAACCAACCATTCCCGCACTTAGCTTCCACCAAAGAAAATTCATAGAATAAAATTACAGACAGAGAGGCAGGCAGGATCCAGCTGGAGAAGAAGAAAAAGAAGAAGAAAAGGGGAGAGTGCAAAAGCAATCTCTCTTTTTTGGATCACTCAACTTAACATGCAATATCTCATAAAAGATCCAACGTCCCAAACCCAGTTTTTCTCTTCCAATTTCGATATGATCAACCCTGGTGGTGGAGCATTTTCATCTCCTGAAATAGCGCGTTCTTCCCATGCTCAAACGCCTACTGATCAAGACGCTAAGTTCGAAGGTACATATATCTCTTTGACAATCGATTGATATGTCCTTCTTTCTTTATATCGTTTGGTAAGTTTCCTTTAATTTTCCTGATTAGGAATTGGTGCACATGTAAAGCTGCTTCTAAAATTAGTCCACGAACAAAGCCACGCCAGCAATGGAGAGCTTGATGATCGAAGAACGCAACGGGTTCCCGGTATGATTACCATCCTAGACGATGTTAAAACGCGGATCCAAAAATATTCTCCGCCTGTTGGCAAAAGTTTAAAGGAGTTTAGGCGGTGCAACACAGATCTCAGGCCACACCGTGCCCCAAGGGACAACAGGTCTGCTGATGTTGTAATTGATGAGGAAGAAAAGTTGAGGAGAGAAGCTGCATGCAAGCAGCGCAGCAAGGAAGAGCCTTGAAGCAATGTGTTGCAGCTTGGGAAAGGAGAAGAAAATTATGGCCTCAGAACTTTCTAGGAAGGTTCAAGAATTAAGTGGAATGAAGGAACTCATCAATGACCTTAAAGCACAAAACGAGACATTGTTGGAGAAAGTACAAGCTTGTGCTCAAGAGCACAGTTCAGATAACAAGTCTGGTGGAGAGACTCGAGGGGGGGCGGTCAATGCTGCCCTTCGGGAGAGAAACAGGGCTCTTTCGGAGCAACTTTTGAAGTCCCTTGATGGGTATCGATCCTTAAAGAAAAAATATAAAGATGCAAAACAGGAAAATATAAGAATTCAAACAACGGAGGAAATCGGGGGTTGCAGTAGCAGCAGGGCTTGAACGAATACGTGGACTCAAGCAGCAGTTGGCAACAATAGAAGAAATACAGAAATCAGATATTGAAAAGGAAATTTTAGCATTGGAGTGCATGTTCCAGAGTTTCAACAAGAAGATTTCAAAGCACAAGCGTAAGAAAAGCACCAGAAACTGAGATCAAATACCAGTACCGGTATGTCTTCTAGTCCAACATGAGAAGGTTTGGCGATAATTTTCCCGCTTGAGTCCACAATATCAATTATTTCATAATCCCAAATTTAGTTCTTTTATCTCATCTTGGAATCAAAAGAATTCTACAAACATATACTTCAAGTTGCTTTTGTAAGTTTGTGCAAATAACTTGACTCTCCTAATACTACGACAAATTTATGTGAAACCAATTAAGCTCAGTCAATCATTGATCATACGTTCAATTTGCAAAGCAAATTCATCATAATCTACATTTTCTCCATGAACAATAACTAAATTCTAATTTTTTGCTGTTTCATGATTTACAGATTTGGCATAATTTTATACTGCCATATGCTGATAGAACAGTTCTAATTTTCGTGCCCAACCAGCTAAGAAAATTTATTATCCAGGATGCACAGAAAATAATTCCACTTCTTGACCTGCTAGCACATTACAAGAGTACTGTTGTTGCTTAAAGTAGCTCAACAGATAGTAGACTTTTTAATAAGAAATTAATTTGCAGGCCACAATGATTATACCTGCCAAAGCTATGCATAAAACCTAATATTTGTAGAGGCCATATTGCACATGTACGGTACAGCTACAGAACTGTTTAGACATTTAAAGAGGAAAGAAACGTTCTATAATCTATATCTTTTTCAACCAAGGCTTTGTAATTTGCACGCAGAAATGGAGTTCAGAACCCACGAATTGCTCACTGCTTTGGCTCCGGTTGAACTTGCCAGGGCTTCCGCATCTGATCTCCTGAATCTTAAAATTGTATGCTTCTTGCTGGGACCACACTTATCGACGCTGTAAATTATGAAGTTTGGAGATACAGGGGAACCAGATACTGGGGCTCCCTTGATATTTGACACTAATGTTTTTCATATTTGATCAAAAACAGTTGGTCGCAATTTTACTAAAGTACAAACAATACACAGGGTTTGAACCAAGCTTCGTTTATCTAATAATAATCCTCACCAATGCTTATTGGCAACCTATATGGCAAAGAAGGGCTGTACGTACAGGTAGATAGTTTGCTTATGTCTATCTTGAGCTAGATATCCGGACGGAAAAAGAATGAAAATGGACAGTAAAGGAAGGGGTATTGGATCAATAAAAAATTTCCCATTGCGCCATGGCTGGAGAAGGATCAAAGGTCTCCCATTTGGTTGTGACAATAACAGGCTTTACTCTAGCATTTGATATCTTCAACGCGTCAAGGGTTTCAACGCATTTCTTAACTCTCTTGCCCTGGAAAACGAAGCCATAAATTAGTTTGATTTACATTACAGGTTTTCACTTATGATGACCGTGAATCATAAAGAGTGAAGTGAAAGAATAAACCTCAAGGATTGACAACTCAGTGTTTTCTACCAAGTGTACGAGGTAACTGAAATTTCTCATTTGATAGAAAGAAGAATCGAATTTCAGGTACCTGCAAAGTTTTCCGGGCAAAAGCATCTCCCTCGGCAGCAATATTGTCTAGCTTGATTGCTTGTCTCATGAGAATCTCAATTAGTGTTGTGATTTGAACATCCGCTACCTTAACTCCATTGGAGATTGATTTTTCGATTGCAGAAACCTAAGTCCCAAAGCAGAATATCTAAATTCATAATTCATAATCTTGTTTTCAATGCATTAAAAATAAAAAGAAAAAATTACAATTAGTATTGACAATATTCATGTTATTTGTTTTACAAGAAAAAAAATATATTATGGGGTGCTAAGCCTAAAATCTATGTTACTTAGACTCAGATATGAAGTGAGTGTCAAATGTGTCTGACATGGATACATTTAATTTTTCTAAATTTTTTTCACATATTTGAAGGATCAAATTTTCATACTCACGTATGTGTTAGACACAAAAAGGTAAAACAAAATAAAAATAAAAAAAATTTCAGAGCATAAAACTGAGACTGTGATCGACTATGACACCCCTTACAGATTATGATGGCCTAAGTTGCAAGTGGACGGAAGCTGACCACCCTAATGACCCAAAACTCCTAAAATGGCAGTGATTAGGGCCAGGTTCGTTTTTGCTATTAGTAATTGACACAGTATATATAAATATAATTGCATGAGGACCGGTTCCCCAGTTGAGGGTCCAGATTCTACACCTAATCATAACTGAGAAACCCTATCTGTATCTTCATGTCATCCAGCTATTTGATCATGAGCCATGATACACTTTAGCTGTCCACCACAGATTCTTTCATTGTCTTTCGCATCCAACAATTAGGGCTACATGGGTTTTTTTTTTTATGTTATAAATGCATATGCATAAAATATATTATCATGCCATATGATAATTGATAGGATAATTATGAAATTAAGAAGAAAATGAAAAGAGCATTGCTTAATTACTTCCTCAGCCAGCTTATCAAGTTCCAAGGAGACATGGTTGATGGCGCGATTTGCCCTTTGGATCTTGGCGTTTCTGCGCATCTCGATGAACCTTCGCTCTATGCTTGCGGGGTCCTCCATCAGTATGAGTTTTGATCGGTCTTTGACTCCACATATGTCCAAATACGCACCGTTTTCTCTCTCTTTTCCTTTGAATATCACTGTCTGCTCCCCCGCTTGTAACCCTGTTTCTGCTGTTAGAAGCTTCTTCACCTCCCCTGCTTGTCCACCGCACCGCCAACCCCACGTCAATTCTACCATTCTTAGAAATTTATAATTACTAATAATTAAGAAATAAAAATTACTTTAAAGTAATGAATAACGGAAAAAAGTAGGGATCTTAAACAACCACGCAAAACCCCCACGTAATAGTAAAGACAGCAACAAAACTCAATAAGACTGGCTACCAACATTTTCCATTGCCATTATTTTCCCCCCACTTTCTCACCGACTAAACAAACAAGTGAACAACCATCTAAAAGAAAGTAAAAGAAAATGAAAACCCATGGAAGAAACTGGCTGTGTTACCAAATGTCGCTTTAGAGTTCACGGAGATCTTGTAATGCATCGCCCCGTAAGTAACACGTAAGCGAATATCAGGGGCTGAAACGTCAGCGTTTTGGTTTCTTTTTTGCACCAGCATCCCTCCGGGTCTCATTTCCCACTCAATTTTTTCTTCTTTGGACGTGGAAGACGACGACGTCGTATTGTTTGAGCTTTCACTCATTCCACCATACACATTGGACTTTCTCTCCATCATCTTCGTGTCGAACTAAAAACTTTTCCTAGAAAATTTTCTTAAATGACAAATTTTGTCGCTAATTTTCTTGGGAAAGTGAAGGAAAAATATCTTCAAAGCATTGAACTGAACCAGTCCAGTTTCCTTTACGGACAGTAAAGAGGGAATAGAATGGTTGGGTGCGGGTTTTATATGCCGTGTGTAGTGTTTAAGGTTTTGCTTCAAAGACATCAGAAAAATGACAGAAAGGTATGTTTGTTTATGAGTGGACTAGAAGAGACTGAAAGGGTCCACATAGGTATGATGTATGGGAGTATATGGGTATGTGCACAAAGATTTGGGTTTGTGTTTGTTTGGGTAGAGAATATTTCATAGGACTAGAGAAAATTGAGAGTGTCTTATGAGTATTGATTGTTGAGTGGGGTTGATGATATGATGTATGTTTGTAATTCTCTACAACTAGTGGATTTTGTTTCTCATCCGTGGATGTAGGTCAATTGGACCGAATCATGTTAAATTGTTGTCTTTTATGTATTTGATTTATTGTTTGATTTTGCTTCGCTGGTGTGATTGGATTGGAGGCTTTTAGCCCATCAAGAAGTATCCAAGAAAAACGAAAAAGAGGGGTTCTTTATTTTTTCTATTTTATGATATTCATGACATATAGAGAATTATGAAAACTAGTTAAGCAGTTGGTTTCAATTGAAAACGAGAATTCATATATTATAATTCATTGAATCATTTTCAAAATAAAACTGTCTTTATGATTAAGTAAGTTCACGTAATTTTCAAGCTAGGAACCTTGGTTTCAACTTAGCTTGTTTCGCTTTCATTGGGAGAGATTAAAAGATCCTCTAAAACAGAGTTATCGAATCATCAGGTCATGACTTTAACTAAGATGCTGATCTTGCAAGCGATTCCGATCAATGGAAAGTGTGGTAGTCCTGTAGTTTTGCTGATTGTGGTTATAATCTCTCTTTCTGTCACGGTTGAGATAATTATGTCTTAACAACTACCTTTGATTAATCTGTTCATTCTCCTTTTCCACTTGTCAGGAAATTTTGAATTGATTTTTCTTGTGTCTTTGCTATGCAACAAAGTAGAAAAATGGAAGAGATGGGAGGCCGTCAGGCGGATTTTTCTGTGAGAAAAGCAGTTAAAATTTTCTCTTGCTCTTCAATGTCCGAAGATATTATAGTAGTTTATTAGTTTTTGTGTGTGTTTCTTTGATTTCCCCAAAAAAAAAAGTAATTAATTAAGAAAAAAATACACATTTACATCTTAGGGTGCTCCACTGGGACAACAGAACCATAGCAGGGCAAAAACATTCATACCAAATTAGAGTGGTCAGTGTATTATTGGCGTAGCAAATATATATATAAATTGGGTGGCTCCATTACCATGAGGACCATGACCAGTAAGATCCATGGTCTGTGTAAGATCACTTGTCCCATCCCTATAATTGCTTTGCATGCCCTTCACAATTCTGCTCTGCAGTCAGCCCCACCTATCTTGGTTCTTTTTTGTCTCCCCTGTTCCAGTTCTGTATAATTGAAGCTAGCTTTATATACATGTTGATGGTTAATTTCCTCATACTTTGTTTGGATAAATACAAGCTTAATCACATGAATATTATTCGTATTTGTAGGATTTACAATTGACCAGTTGGATTTTACATTTAGGGAACCAGAAAGACGTGCAATATCTGTCTATAACCTTACAGGAGTAAGCCTGAGACCCCAAACTTCGTCATATACATAAGTAAGTCTAAATGGGTGGGACAAATACTATATTCATATTTGTATTGCATTGTAACAACCGCATACCTGTTGTTCATCTGTTAAAGATGAATGCTAGATTTAGACCAAATATAATAATGAAGCAAAACGGTGGCCACAGCCACAGGTAGAACTTAGAAGGGAAGTGGGTTAAGGATGGGCATGTGGTGTGTTGGCGGGAGCATATTAAGCAATGATTACAAAAAAGAAAAAGATGATCATTCTTTGAGTTGTCAAGGGAAAGAAATGGTTAAAGTGGTGTTGTTTTCTAGCAAGAAAGCAACAAAGCTTTCCCACTGGTTTCACTCAGAAGCGGAAGCTGGCGACAAACACAGTGGAAGTGAATGATGCTAAAGTGGCCAATGGGCAGGGAATCAACGCTGTTCTACTTTGTTTGATCACTGCTTGTGCTGCCCTGTCAGTGGGAAGTGACATTTCGTAACCTGCCCCTCCTCAGTCCCCGCGCAGCTGTCTCAAAAAACTCCAGCCGTGCCGAAGCGGTTAATTGAAGCTGCAGATCTTTGAGCGGTCATTGCAACATACGTACACTGAATGTGAGCCATACGTGTCATCTCACAATTTTGTAGTTATCTTACATATTTTTGTTTAATTTTATTTACTAGAGCATAATTTGAAGATTAGATTTACTTGTTTAAAATCCCAATTTTAAAAAGAATAGTACATGCCATTTGTAAATTTATCACAAACAAAATGCCTACCGAGCTGGTTTGAGTCAAGACCATGGCGCCGTCTAGCTGGGAAGGTACGGCCCATGGGACATGGTTGGGCTTCAAATATTTGGCCCATAAACCAGTAATCCACTTTGGGCTAAACTTTCTGTACTTGGTACTTGCAACTTCATCCTCACCAAAAATAATGGTCCCGTTAAAAAAAATGACGATCACTTTTGCTGATTGCTGATCCATGATTAGCCAAGGCTGCTGTAATTTTGGTAGCAATCGTTTTCTATGCATCCCTTGCATATCTATAACTAGAAATAGACTGACGATGTGCTCCATTCAATTGTAAAGGTTAAACCACATAAAATAGTCATACACATAGAGCCAAATGATATGGTAATAGCCACAGGTCCCCATCTAATTAACTTCAACCTCTTTTATTTTTTAAAATGATATGGTAATAGCCAAAGGTCCCCATCTCATAAATTTCGACATAGTACTTAGCATACCAATGTGGATATAAAGGTAATTAATCCGTACATTTTAAAGATATGTACATTAAAAATGGTTACCTAGATCTTTCTTTTTTACATGCCAAAATCTTTCATATAACAGTCCTATTTAATATATATTCATAATACTACCTCAATTGGAATTAAATCTTTCGCTTTGGTGATGCAAAAATATAATAGTAAATAATATTACATTGAAAACTAGAACATCTTTTTTGAATTGATCCTTAATCTAACCTATTGATTCAATTGGTAAAAATTATTTATCTTAACATAAAAATCTTATGTTCGAATAATTTTTTGTTGAAATCATTTTGAATATACGATTTTTTGTTATTATTCTTAAACTATTGAATATGATAAATTTTATCTTAATTTGACAGAGGAATTAAATAATTTATTTACTCTTAGATTTCATGAAAAAAAAAAAGACATATTTATTGTTTCTATGACATATATCTCCGGCTTGTCTTATTGTCTACTACGTTACTCTTTCTTCAATTTCCAACTTCTTTTCTCTTACTACAATCTAATATAATATGACTGTTAATTTCTAGTTATTGGGTTGGTTGGAAGGAAAAAAAGCCACGGATTCGATTGACTTCTGAGCCGTGGGATCACTACTAGAAAAAGTTATTTTAGTATTGTTTAATAACGTTGCAAAATGATAATTCATCATAAAAAAAAGTTGTTGCAAAATCGTGGTTCCGTTGCAAACCCTGAAGCCTTAACTTGAATGAATTTGATCTTATATTTACTGAATCAAGCTGAGAATATATTACTTATTCCCAGAGGGAATATAAATTATAACAAGGAAAAACAAAGTGGGAAAATTATTCCGACGACACTTTATATCTAATATGAAATTAAACCAGCAAATTGTTCTGGTTCCACTTAAAACCAGAACTATAACATGAGCTTTATTTCATAGTACAAGGAAAACAAAGAGAAATACAAAAATTTCTTACTTATTCTTTTATTAAAAAAAGTTCTTACTGAAGAACGACAAGATCATCAATTTCTGCCAACATATATATATATATATATATATACATATTTATTCTGTGTTGAGCATGGTATCCACCATCTCTCGTATCACCTTCCAAGCCATGATAACATGTTTATCCTCTGTAAGAGTGGCCCCAACAGCAAATCTCAGCATATAAATGCCATCAACCTGAGCATGAGTTATGTATATCCTCCCTGATGCGTTCATTGACTCTAACAGTTTTCGGTTAAACTCGTTTGCGTGCGTCTGATCGACATCATCTTTGTCACAATATTCATTCTGAAATTTACACAATGCTGATGGCAAAACCCTAAAACAGACCATAGCAAAATACCTGGGTACTACTACTTCAAACCTATTATCGCTAGCCACAAGTTCTTCGAAAAGTTTTGCCATTTTGACGTGGCTTCTTAGAAAGTTTCTGAGATTGGCAACACCATAACTTCTAAGTACAAGCCAAAGTTTCATAGCTCGAAACCTTCTGCTGAGAGTTATCTGCCAATCTTTGTAGTCTACGACTTGTTTTGTATCACTAGCTTTGTTTCGCAGGTATTCCGGATTTGTTGAGAGAGATTTTATGAGAGTACTTGGATCCTTCACCCAAACACAACAACAATCTAAAGTGGTGAAGAACCATTTATGAGCATTCAGGCTAAAAGAATTTGCACCTTCTGCGCCACTGATAAAATGTCGGAACTCGGGGCAAATGCAGGCACTTCCCGCGTAAGCAGCGTCAACATGAACCCACATTCCGTATCTTTTGGCCACATCACATAGTGGTCCCAATGGATCAACAGCAGTTGTTGATGTTGTCCCAATTGTGGCACATAGATAGAGTGGGATTAATCCAGCTTTTTCGTCAAAGCTGATTGCAATTTGTAATGATTCTGGTGACAGACCAAATGATGTTGATTTTGTTGTCTTGATGGCTCGAACGTTCTTAGGGTTGATACCGGCAATATTAGCCGCCTTTGCTAGAGCACTATGTGTTTGGTCCGACCCATAGACAACTAATTTCCCGATGTTATCCCTCCCAATTTTGCTCGACATTTGATCTCTTGCAGCTGTTAGCGTACACAACATGGCCTCGCAAGTAGTTCCCTGTATCACACCCCCTCCATTTCCGGAGAAAAGGAAACTCTGAGGAAGCTGAAGCATTTGTCCAAGCCAATCCATGACTATGGATTCTAGCTCCGTCGCAGCCGGTGATGATATCCAGTTGAAGCCCACCACATTGAAGCCGGTGCTAAGCACTTCTCCAAGGAAGCCAGCAACGCTACCACTTGAAGGAAAATATGCAAAATAGTTAGGACTTTGCCAGTGTGTTATCCCAGGGATAATATGTTGCTGAACATCTTGAAGGATAGCTTCCACGGGTTCAGCAACGTATGGTGCGGACATTGGCAAGAGTTTTCGAAGGTAGCCTGGTTCAACTTGACTGAGAACTGGGTATTTCTCAATGTTTTGGTAATAATCAGCTAGGAAATCTATGATCATGTGACCTTGCCTTCTGAATTCCTCAGGATCTAGGGGGTTAACGTTGTCGGTATAACTGCTCCCTAGTCCATTGATAGATGCAAGGCCATCCATTGAAATTGAAAAAAAAGTTGATACTCTATATGTTTCCAGGAATTGTATGAGGCTTCTGGCTTCTCGGAGCTGCTTAATTTATAAGCACTGGTGCTTAAATTTGGTCCCTTTGGGGGCAACCAGTGGAGGTTCCAATCTCCCTCACTCCAATCTAGCTAGCTACAGCGACATCGTTCACATGCATGATTTTCCAGCATTAAATTGACAATGGCCATGTGATTGACTTGTACTGAATATATTTTATTTTTGTTTCTTAGTTAGATTTCTATGGAATCTAAGCATTTCTTCGCAGTTACTGGTCAGTGTCTTCGAAGAAAGACCGCATTTTGTGTCGGCAATGCATATGTATATCTGATTACTAAAAGGACAATTGCTTTTTTTTTTTTAAAGAGGACAACCTCTATTACATGGAAAAAAGAGGGAGCTGATTTGGTTCGAACTCGAGTTTTAAAAAATTTTCCAACAAAATAATAGAAAAAAAAAGTCTCCATCTTTTTTTTATAGCTTAAAAAAAATGTGCAACATGTTTTAGAATATACTTACTCACGGATGCAAATTGCAAGTAGGACCACATGATGATGAGTAATGACTGATATCCAAGGACCACAATTAATGTTTCCCATGGTATAAGCAAATATATATATATATTTATGTTGAAATTTACCTTAAATCTCATAATCACATCGAAAGTTAGTGAGTTTTGAGTTTATTCAATATCCCACATCGAAAGTTTAGTAAAAGTATAAGGGTTTCACCTTTACAAATAAAATGTTTTAGTTTTAATTTGGTAATCTTGGAGAATTAGACACCAAAAAAATAACTAAATGAGTTGACTATTAAAATGGTGTAATTGAGTTTTTGGCTAAGTTTTGAGTAAGGAATTTTAGGAGAATTTTTTCATTCTAAAAGTTTCACAATTATAAAAATTTATTTGATAGTGGATTAAGTTTGGAATAGATCATTTTGAGTTAGATCGAATCAAATATATTTATGTGTTTTTATTCTTGATTTGAATTTACTGTTTTGTATATGATTGCTATATGTGGGTGTTATTTTTTCCAATAATATAAACATGCTAACATGTTTTAGAATATACTTATGGATGCAAATTGCAAATAAAAGCAGACCACACGATGATGAGTAATGACTCATATCCAAGGACCATAACGTTTCCTGGTAATTGAACAATATTAATTTACTTTCACGAAATTTCAAAAAAAAAAAAAAGATTTTAAAATTAAATTTTTTTATAAAAATAAAATTTCATAACTATTAATGTCAAAAAGTAAAAAATAATTATAAAAATTAATTTCAAATTTTAAAAATTAAAAATTTTAGATGTTAAAAAAAATATAATTTTGAAACATCTTTAAAAAAATAAATAGAAAAAAGGGACAGAGAAAATATGTTGTTTCTCATCGTAAAGATAATTAATCAAAGACAAAATATAATTAGAGTCCATACACATCTAACACTCCAATAGATCATAGTACCCTTCCTAGCTCTAGAAATTTAATTGATGATAAGTTTTCATCAGATGACTAGGCTTCCCAGCTTGTTGTTTAATTTGAAAGATTCATAAATTTGTGTGATGGTGTTGAATTATTTATAATTATTTTTATTTTTATTTTTTCTCTCTCTTTAAAATCTTTTTTAAAGATTTTATTAACTGTTGTTCAAAAATTAATTAATTAAATTTTGCAACGTAACTAGGTTTCATCTATTTAAAAATTTAATTGAATTGAATTAAAAAATTAATCATTTAATTAATTGTAATAAAATATAAAAAATTTAAATAGTTATTAAATTATAATTCAAAGTATTTTGGACGTCCCTTTAACCGAAAACAATACAAAATGTATAATAGGGAGTTCCTATATAATCTCCCAATTTTGATATAACGATCTAATATAAGGGTTTGATGTATTTTTTACAAATTTAGATAAAAGAAATTGTACATCAAAATTTATGCCTCTCAAAGTATTGTCAATGGACGGAGAAGAAATGCCAATTAATTTTTTGTAAATTTCTTACACGTACGTCATATGTGACAAATTTATGTTGGCCATGCACCTCTAAAAAAATAACAATGAGAGTTTTCCCCTTAGAATGGTCTATAGCCCAGCTAAGCTCCTCCTGCCAACTTCGAATTCTTCCGTTAAAGTCACACTTTGTCATAATCAATCTTCAAACTTCATTTGACAAATCACAAGAAAAGAAAAGATTAATTCCAAGTCTCCTCCTCAATCTAGCAAAAATAGCAAGTAGTCTTTGACAGTTGAATACCCTAACTTCTAATGTGAGAAAAAGTACTTAGTTTATCAAGAACAGCAAGCCAAGTGATGAAACTATGTCTTGGAAGAGAAGACGAGTTCCAGACCAAGCTCTGCCAAGTCACCATTAAGCGTTTCCTTATGATCCATTCCCAAGTATCAGAAAGTGCAAACTTGGCCGACTTTAATGCTTGCCAAACAACAGCATCCTCTTTTGCAGTAACATGTATATCAGTAAGAGCCTGATATACATTTCTTAATGCTAGAGAGGTGGTGAGTGTCCAGTTCAATCTTCATTCAAGAGATCAGAAGCCACAATTGCATTTTGAGATTGTTACTTGTGATGAAATACTTCTACTATAATTAACAATTGGAGCATCGCCAAGTTAGTTGACAAACCAATTTTTGTCTAAAACACAATTACAAAATATGATTATAATTAATTAGCGACCAAGCTCGTTAGCATAAATGCAAGCTTGATTGGGTTCAATGGGAATAAAATGAAGGAACAATAATAGAAAGAAAATTTAAAGGCACTTGGGGCCTTATAGGTAAACCTTATTAAGCTAACCTACCTAGGATAAGAGAGGGCAATCAGCAGTTAGTGGTCCGACGCTCCCCACGCCTTGATTGGAACCTCAGTCAGATCTTTGGAACACTGCTTTTATTTTCTCTCACGATATTTTTGTAGCATTGTCCAACTATATATTCATGCATTCAAAGTGATCAAATAATTACATGAATATATAGTTGGGGAATGCAATTGAAGTTCATTTTTTTGGATGATTTTTAGTACAGAAAAGAGTATTTTAAATATGGTCATTGCAATATTGCCATTAAAATTGTCTACATATGAATTCGTATTAAGAAAATTTTCCCACAAAATAAATAAAAAAAAGTCTTTTATCTTTTCCTTATAGCTAAAAAAAAGGGTGCCACATGTTGTAGATTCTTATGAATGCAAATTGCAAATAAAAGCAGACCACATGATGATGAGTAATAATTATTATCAGCATTGACATCAGTATTGTCATCAAGGACCACACCTTAACACTCCAATAGATCATAATATCATTCCTAGCTCAAGAAATTTAATTGATGATAAGTTTTTATCAGATGATTAGGCTTCACAGCTTGTTGTTTAATTTGAAAGTTTCCTAAATTTGTGTGATCTGTGTCGAATTATTTATAACCATTATCTCTGTCAGGTGATTTATATGTTAAATATTACTATAGTACTACTATAAAATATATGTGAAAATCATGAATACGGTTTATAATTGGTTTGTTTTGGATAGTTGGATTTATATATTCATCCCAATGAAAGCAAGAAATTCTCCTAGAAAATGCAACTAGGCAAAGAAACAGCACAATGCGGAGAAAGAACAGACAAACTAAGAAACACATTTAAAGCCCAACATTAAGGAACCAAAGAACATGGCAAGAAATTGTGCAAACTTAGCTTCAGAATACAAATAATTAATACCCATTGCTTACGGAGGAGACTAGATGTTAGCTGGTCTGCATTGTTGGAAGCATTTTCCAAGCTGTTAGCTAAGATTAACTAGCTTGATGACTTCTTCAAATCAAGCAAGGCAAAGCAAAGGTAGCTGGCTAGCTAGAAGTATTGGGCCTGAAGCAACATATATAACAATGCAGAAGTAATATATCGCAATAAATTTATAATAATAGACAATAATCAATAATTAATTACGTAACAAAAATAAAACACATTAAAATTTACGTGAAAAATTTTTAAATGTAGACGAAAAAAATCAAGGATCACGAAAAAATCTCAATTATTAAATAATGGATATATAAAGTTCTCTTCTAACTAAAATTAGAGTTAATTAACAATTAGAGTAACAATTGAAGAAATCTCACCAAATAGATGACTCAATAAATATACTATGAATTTGTTCCTAAAGAGTTTTAAACCCGATTTTTACCGTTCAGAATATAAAACTCTAAATCATAAACTTGCTAATAAAATTTCAGTTCAATTGAATTACGATCGACTTTTGTTCAATCAACTTTCTTTTCTCCCATACTTTCTATTTTTTCTTTTCTTTTTCCCTTAATTTCGACTCCACCACACTGTAAACACCATTTTTGTTTTTGTTTTTTTTTTTTGTCTATTTTTCTTCTTTCTTTCTTTCATTTTCCTTCTTCTTCTCCTTTTTTTATGTTCTGATCAATTTGACTAAAATATGAATGCATTAAATGCACTCTCCTCGAAAGTCCAAAATCTCAACCACTACCACCACCGACAGTTGCCTAACACTCTACTTAATTTGGCAACGTGGATTTCGACATAAAAATATGGGATTTGAATCTTAAAAAATCTAAGATTTGAATCTCAAAAAGCTCTATAAATAAAACTTGATTCTTATACAAAAAAAGGGGGGATCGAAAAAACCTACACAAAAAGATGAAGGGAGGAGAGACCCTGCAAAAAACAAAACATTCTATCAAAAAAAAAAAAAGAAAACAAAAAATCAAACAACATTCCTTTGGGAACAGGGAACCCAATGCCACCTAGCAAAAAACATTAAAAAAAAAAGGCAAACCAGAAAAACAAAAATTTTGGCCAAACCTTCCAAGCCAAATCTGCGTTATTTGGAGCTTTTTTCGTAGAATTAAGCTCAAATTTGGACATAGGAGGCCGTAAAGAGTTTTTTGAAGAGATTTTTGAAATTTTTAACACTGGTAACAACGGTCGGAGCTCGTCGGCAGTGAGGAACATGGTAGCGATCAAAGAGGATGATCACCAACCCCAGATCAATCTAAAAAAAAAAAAAAGAAAAATATTTTTTTTCAGGAAGAATGGAAAAATGAAGTAAATTTTTTTTTAGCTTTTATATAAGTTGTTGATAGCCAAAACAATGTCGTTTTATTTAAACACCAAAACAACGTCGTTATTAGCCCAGAATCCCCACGTCAACCAGTCGATCCGACTCCGGGTCTACGCAAATGACCCAACGACCCGACTAACCATTGACTGATCCAACTGAATCAACCCAGATCGAATCGGATCGTTCCTGAACTACTGATGATAAATCAACCTAACTAGACTGAACCACCGGACCAGACAGGGCGTTGATCGGACTATTGACGGGTTCGGTTTATGTAAAAAAAATTTTTTTGAATTTTTTTAAAAAAATTTAAAATATTATTTTTGTGATTTTAAATTTCATTATTAATATTTTGTATGTTAAAATGTTTAAATTTACTAGAATAAAATTTTGTTGTTTTATAATAATAATTAATAAAAATAAAATGATGAAATATATAATAAATTTTTTTTATAATTTTGAATAAACCTTATAAAATAATTGGTAAAAAAGTTATAATTAAATAAAAATAATACAAAAATGATAAGAAATCAGAAAAGAAAAATTTTATCCGACGATGAGATTCAAAAGTACTATGAGTAGTGATACCTATGAAATCTTTAAGTGAAAAGATTTTTTTTTAAATGCTATCAATGTATTAAAGTATTTATAAAATTTTTAATAGAATAAAATTTTCCTTTTTGTTAATAAAAAAATAAATTTATTTATTTATTAAAAAATAAGTAATAAAAATGAAAAAAAAATTTATCTGATGAAGCGATTCTAAAAGTATTTCGAGTAGAGATGCTTCAAAAAATTTCAAAATGAGAGAATTTTTTTTAAAATATTACTAATGTATTAAAATATTTATAAAAAAAAACTTCAATGTAATAAAATTTTTTTTTTTAATAAAACATTAATAATAAAAAAAACAATAATTCAATTAATAAAACAATCAATAAAATTTCTAAAAAAGATATTAAAATACATGCATCATCATATCAGTGTTTTGCATTGCATGCACGATAAAATTTTTACGAAAAATTAATTTGAGCCTTCAATGATGAGATTTTAAGGCATTTCGAGAAGCGATGCTAAGAAATTTTTATGTGAGAAAATGTTCTTCTAATGTTACCAACGTACTGAAAAATTTTAAGAATTATTTTAATAAAAAAAGTTCTAATTTATTTTTCTCGAATAAAATTTGAGCATAAAAAATAAATAAATTAAATTAAATTAAAAAAATCAATTTTCAATAAACAAAAGTAATCAAAAAAATTATTTTTTAAACACCGTAAATGAGACTGTTTTTTATCAAAATTAATGGATAACACGAAGTTAATTAGTATTGTTTTAAATGATTGCTGTGAGGGTATTAATCATTCTTTATGTGTAACCGACTCTTAAACTCAGACTGTTTCATAGATCATAAATTTATCTTTTTAATAAATTTTAATTAATTTTAAAATCTTATTAAAAAAATAAATTTTAATCACACTTAACTAAAAAAAATTAATAATGATTCTATTTTTTATTTTTTTATTTTTATTTTTAAATTCATCGAACAAACATAAAACTATTACTATACATACTTTCTCATCTTAAAACATAGTCCCTCTTTTTCTATTAAATATGACTTTTTTGGATCAAATACAAAAAAAAAAATTAGGTCCTTTAATTGGCCAAAACGAATGGGGCCACACTTCCTAACAAAAAGGACATGTACGAGACAATTGTAAGCTGTGGCTGCCCGTTGGAATCAAGCCAAAGGTCGCCATCTACTTGAGGAAGAAGATGGAGCTAAAGTTAAGGATATTTGGAGGCAAGTGCCGGATGTTGATTTGTATTCTGAAAAGAAAGCTATATTTGTGAGATTAGTACACGTTCCAACGATTTGATTGGTCCTTATGCGTCTTCCGTGCATCAAAAAGGAATCGTAGTCCCTTGTTTTGTACATAAACTTGAATGTTTCATCTTAATCACAAAGTTAAGGCTTTTAATATGTTATACAAGTTGGTATGATAGTGCACTTCAACTATACAAGTTAAGCACCTTTTATTGATTCAACCAAAAAAAAAAATGATAATACATAATATCCCATTTAGCTCCTAAACTATTATATATATATATTTTTAATGTGATACCTTAAAAAAATTTTTAATTAGGTATCTAAAATATATTTTTGTGTATTAAATTACTTTAACCTACACTGTTAAAATAATACTGATGTGTCATTTAAATGCTGAAGTGAATGAAATATGATTGTCACATGATTTAGATGTAACTGTTACATTTTTTTTAAATAAAAAATTTTAAAATATAATTTCTAAACAAATTTTATTATTTGTTATTTTTTTAAAAATTGTTAGAGGCATTTGATGATTAAAACAGCATAATGATTTGTAGGAGCATTTAGTGGTTAACATGGTATAATAAATTTTTTTCCTCTTAGAAGCGTTTAACAGACAATCAAAGATATTACTACCATTTATATCGACCTAATATGTTAAGTCAATTTAATATACTTAGTGCCATATCAGTTCAACACTGCCTTTATTATCCCATGACGATCCCTATTGCTCACCTATAAATATGAAGGTTTAGGCATAATTAAAGTAAGTTGATCTAAACCCATTTTCTCATTTCTACTTCCTTCCTAATCTCATTCTATCTGACTTGTATGACGAAGTGCAAACGTAAGGAACATATCCTATCTTTATCTCTTACCATCATTCTCTTCTATTTTTTCAATAATACCATGAAATCAGAGCTCAACACAAACAAAAATAATATGACAATCACATCATTATCATATGATAATCACGTGTCATCAATGTCTGTATTTAAAATGCCACATCAATACTATTCTAATGGTGTCAAGGGAGTGTAGCAACATAATACATAAAATTAAAGTTTAAGTACTTGATTAGAAATTTTTTAATTTAAATATCACTTAAAAAAATTATAATAGTTATAGGGCCAAATGAGGTATTATCAAAGAAAAATAAGAAAACTGAATTTTAGAATTGGGTTTGGACAACAATAGTGAACCCATCTCTCTAGGCCATTATTGAAGCCTAAGTTCTTGAGTCATAGCCCATTTAAGCTTGAGATGGGCCTTCCAAGCTGTTTCTTAGTGGGTTATTGGAGCTCTGTAGTTCTTTTCCGTACGTCCAACGCCCAAAGCCCCAAGCCCCTTCCAATTGTCAGAGCACGAAAACCCTAATCTGGAAGATAGACAGATAGTCGGCTGGTAGACAATCGAAGGGAAAGGAAAATGACAGGGAAATTATTTGCTCTCCGCCAGGCCTTCAACTTCCGATCCATTTCTTCTTCTTTTTCTCTGAAACAAAAAATCTGTCAATTTCCAGCACACAAAAAAACCTGAACGCATTGCCAATCTTCTCCGAAGTTTCTAGAACCTTCTGCTCCTCATCCTCAGGTATTTTCGTTCTTATGCAATTCCACTGTTTTTTTTATTTTTTATTTTTTGTTAAGGTAAATAAGAAATGGAAAATTTGGTTTCAGTACCATCGAATACGAGACAACCAACTGTAGCGAGGATTCCTTTTGTGGATGCGTTTCTGGCAAGAATGAAAAAGAACAAACATCTTTTAGCCAACCAGAAAATTTGGTCGCGTAGATCTACTATTTTGCCTGAATTCGTAGATCAAACTGTACGGATTTACAATGGGAAAAATTTTGTTCGCTGCAAGATTACAGAAGGCAAAGTGGGTCATAAGTTTGGTGAGTTTGCTTTGACTCGGAAACGGAAGCATTTGAGAGCCAAAATCGAACCTGCAAAAAAGAAGGGCAAAAAGTAAACATTTGCCACCCCAAAAACAACATCCATTTCGGTAAGACTTTGCCTCCTTATCATTTTTTACTGTGTAGTTTGTTTTTTAATCTTTCCGGCGTAATGTGATGCTGTTGCTTTTGGTCTGGGGTTGAATTTAAGGGAAATTAGGGAGGTATTAGAAGAGCACAAATGACAAATTTTGTTGTTTATTTGTTTGGTAATGAGGACATTTCATCTACGAAGTTTATCAGTTTTACATTAGTCTGTCTTGGTAGGGGCTTGAATGGTGAAAGCAAGTGTTCACTGTGTCTGAGTTTCATGGCAAAGAAACTCAGTTTGAGGGTTTATGTATTTATGAATAAATCTGAAAGTTTTCAGATGGCTGCTAACAATACATTACTACATTCTTTGTGCTAAGGTTATGAAGATCCTACTACTTTCATAATCCTGATCTCCTTTCAATCTAATTTAATCTATGCTTTTTTGCAAGCTACACTCACTTCATCATGAACTTGCCAATGTGATCAGCAAAAGACTCATATCATCCATCACTTACTCAACTTTCTTGTGTTTAAAGCACTAGATCAAGAACATGTTGAGGCTTAAGACAATGGGCAGCTTCATTTATGCAAGCAATTTCTGTTGTTTATTTAGTTATGTGAAAGACTCAATCTCCCAATTCTTTTCTTTTCTCCATTTTCGTTGTCTGTTAGATTGTCATAGTTGAGTGGGGTTTATTGTTTCCTGTAGCTTGAATGTCAAGTGGAAATGCCTATGCTATCCATGCTATAAGTTTTTGACTGCTGGATGGTTATTTTTGCTTTCTTGTTTTGTTTTCCAGGAAGAGAAGTGTGATTCCAGAGAATGGTAAATGTAAATTGATGCTTGATTTGATGGGACCTTTTTCAAGCAATCAAAGAGGGAAGAGACTGGTTTTAAGGTCTCTTTTGTTAAATGATTTTAGGATTTTGTTTGGTCAGTTGTTGGCCTGCATTATTATTCTGAAAAAGTACAGTTTTTGGTTGGGATGTTTTTATGGTCCATGCAGGTTGATTTTGCAATAAAATTGTCAAATTGATATTCTCAATTTCTAATATGTGGAACGCATCCTGAGATGCTGCTGCTACAAAGGAAAGAAAAGGTTTTTGTGATTGTTAGTGTCAGGACAGTTACTACTTAAATATAATCATAAATATATATATATATATATGTTTTATCTTGCTTGGAATTTGATCAATCTTTATAAGAGAACCTAAAATGTCATCCAAGTACATTGAGAAATTGGAAGTTATAGCCTGTTTCTTCATAGTGGGAGTATATTTCCAAGTAAGCAAACAAATAAGGCAAATTGTTATCTTCTTTTTTATGTAGGTATGTGTGTGTATGTGAAAACGTTGTTATGTCATTCTCCAGTAGATCTTGTCTGATTTTTGAGATTATAATCATCTAAACTCTTAAAGAATTATAGGACCCTAAATCACAACTCTTATTTTTATCAATCTCGCTTGTATCTGTTCTTTGATGTAAGGAAGCAGTATCGGTCTCAGGCCCTACACCCTAGTCTTAATGTTTGCTCACAGTCCATTTGGGCTTTGATCCAACACAATGGCGGATGGATAAATGTCTACTCTCTGCTAGCTTAGAAAATGAGAGGAAGGAGTATTGGTGGGTTGACAATATTGCCACCCCAAGAAATTTTTTTTTTTTTTGTTGAGTATGATACAATACATAGTGTCATAGTGATAATTTTGAATTGATGAACTTACAAATTTTTCTGATGTTTTATTTAGATTTAGGCAAGATGATTTATTATATATTACAAGATCTAAATACTGTAACTGTTTTACATGAATAAAGACCATGGTCTTGTAGAAATCGATAAAAGCATCAATCAAAAGAGAGACGGTGGTGAAGGGTGAGACTGAGACAGAAGGCAGCCATAGCCAAAACCATCTCCCCAGTCTGTCTCACTCTCACCAACCTCCTTTTCTTTCCTTAACAAGTCGGTTTGTTGGCACATTGACCCACTACCATCTATGAGACTGTATGCTACCCTTTCTTTGTTTCCAATTTTCCTCAACTGTTCCATATTTATTGGCTAATTTTCATTTCTCAAATAAATACTAGTAGAAAAGTCACAATAATCAAGCCCTTACCAACAGGAAAAAATAATAAAAAAATAAAAAAAGGGAAAAGTCCACCACCAACCGCACCAAAAATATAAAAGGTCCAAATGTGCTCTAAGTTTTTATTTTTTTCGATTTTTGAGAATTTAATCTTTATAATATTATTTAAAAGAATTTAATTTTTAAAATATAATTGTTTTAAAGGTTACGGTTCAATCATTAATAATATATAAGAATTGAATTTTTTTAAAAATTAATATTATAAGAATTAAATTCTTTAAAAAATAATATTATAAAATTAAATTATTTTAAATAATATTATAAAAATTAAATTCTTAAAAATTTAAGAAATTTAAGGGTATAGGACCTTAGGACACATTTTAACCGAATATAATCAAGAACAAAACTCCACTAGCTGCGTATTTGCGTTGCACCCACTAGTGGGGAGAGAATCAGTTCGCATTTTGTATTGAAACGTAAGACTAGGACTGGGGGTTGTCGAGATTTACATTAGAAATGGCTTCAAGAGTGTTCTGGGCTTCAAGGGCGGCTTCTTACCTCAGGATCTCGGTCTTCCATAAAGGCTTTTCTACTGGTAACCTCTTACCCTACTAACTTTTTCTTGTCTCTCTCTCTTCTTTCTATTATTATGTTTGTTAAATGATCCTGAGGACACTGCTATCGAAAAAATGGTTTGGGTGTTGATGGAAATCGGGATCTCATGTTTGTGATTGATCCAAGATTTTACCTTTAAGAAAAAAAGATTTGATTTATGTGATTGGGTTGTTTCTTAAGCTAATGCATTGCGTTAGACTTTTTGGATTCCTCCTTTTTTTCTTTTTTATATATATAGAGATATACATGTCACCAAATTTCCGAAACCTGGGATTTTGTTTCTGATCAATCCTCTGCAGTCATTGATTTAGAGCCATTAAGCTTCTCTTTCAATTTTGATTTTATAAAACATCTTAAAGATTAAGAAAGGAGCTTTAGCCTTTCATTTTTTTTTTCTCTATACAGCATTTGTAGAGTTAGAAACATGTTTAATACTAAACACTAGAGCATTAGGAGTGGTGGTAATCTGGTGGTGGTGCAATCTGTATGGTTGAGGCAGGGGATAGTTGCAACTGGCAACTATTTGTGCAGGTGCTTGAAGCAATGATGCTTGTGTTGCTTATGAAGAATGACGTTAGAGTTTGGCCTGATTGTTCCCTTATTTGGAGATGAAAAAAAAAGTCAAGAAACCTGAAAATAGCAGTGCAAACCAACTGAAACTGTATATGCATGTTTTGTGCATTATTTCTAATAATCACCTCCCTCCTTCTTGCAGTCCTTATTTCTTAATATCAGCTGTCGGTGTATCAGAACAAATGGATTTAGGGGATAGCACCAATTTAGTGCAACTGATTAATGGGATATAAATATGTAGATATTGTTTATTCATCCCTCATATCCATTATGATTCATCATGCTATGCACTGCCAGAGCCATTAGGTGCAGTCTGTTGTTAAACAGAGTCAAGTTATTTTCTTGGATGTCTGCCTGCTGATATGCATTAATAAATATATCAGAATTTGCAATAGAAATTAGTAGAAACTGAAGGAATCTGAACTATTCAGATTCTTGTTATGTTGTCCTCAACCTGTGATGGGCATATTATCTATTATCTTAGAGTTATGAACTTCTTACTTTTAGAGTTCAGTGATGACGTATCATTGAGCTTTACATCTTGAATTAAAATGCCTTAACAATATGTGACTGTGTTCACCATGATATAACTTCAAACTTTGCTCTCTATGGAAAAATGGTCTATTGTTCCTTGAAAGGGATACCTTCATGGACAAATGTTCTTAAAGTACATGATGAATATTGTTTTGATATTTATTGTAGGTATTCTACTACTTGTGATATCTATGTATGAAATGGTTATTCAATTCTTTTGATCCCACAATTGGCTGCAATTTGCGGTTTAATTTGTGTCTAGAATTGCAGCTACTTTATCTATCTTCCCATGTTATAGCTTGTTGTTTGTGTTACTGCAGCTAATACCTCTCTTGTATATTTCTGCAGTTTCAAAGGATCTGAAATATGCTGATTCTCATGAGTGGGTGAAGGTTAATGGTAACGCTGCTACAATCGGTATAACTGATCATGCGCAAGATCATTTAGGTGATGTTGTGTACGTTGAATTACCTGAAGTGGGAGCTGCTGTAAAGCAGGGTGACAGTTTTGGAGCAGTTGAAAGTGTCAAGGCTACTAGTGATGTTAATTCTCCTGTTTCAGGAACGGTGGTTGAAGTTAACGAAGAGCTCAGCAGCTCTCCTGCTTTGGTTAGCACTTTAGCCTATTGTAGACTATTCCTTTCAGAATTTTTCTGGTTTTTCAAATTAAAAATACTAATTGGGTAATTGTGCCTTCTGATCTGGGTTTTTGCTTTTCAATGTGTGAAGTGTCCTCTATCATTGTTTGTGCTTGTGTCTTTGCCAGAATGAGCTATAGTCAGAAAGGATTATTTGAATTTAGGTGTGCCTTAATCGGGCTGCATTTTAGTTGCATACTATTCACTTTAGCTTATATCTACAATCTTTGTTTGTCACAATTTAGGTTAACTCGAGTCCATATGAAAATGGATGGATTATAAAGGTTGAGATGAATGATGCCGGGGAGTTGAAAAACTTGATGGACTCAGAAGAATACTCCAAGTTCTGCGAGGAAGAAGATTCAAAGCACTAACCAGATGCGTTGGCCATGTTGGATCTCAAAGCATTCAGCTGAGATGGATGCTATGCATAGAGAGATAACCGCTATCTATAATGGTAGCTTTCTTGTTGATGATTGTATCAGACCATGAACTTCCATGTCCCGCCATATTTTGGGTTTTTGATTTGGTGTCACGTTTTCTTTAAGCTAAATCAAGGAGTAATGATTTTGGGTTTCGGTTTTCATAATGGAAATTATTTCAAACAATGCTTCATTAACAATTCAAGAATGATTCAGGTTGCGATAATATATATATATATATATAAGCGAGGTGATGTTTACTTGTATCCACCAACTACGATGATGGTGAAATGGTTGACCCTCGAGGCATTTCATCTTTGCGTTCGAAAATCCAATTGACTACCAATTAAGCAAATAAGACCAATGCACAATTATTTCTTCTAATTAATTTAATAAAATTACTATTATGCATTTCCAATTAGGTTCCGCAAACTATAGGTGGCATATCAAAAAATTCTGGCGAATCGTTACAATAGACACTGGACTCGCCTGAGTCGCTTTCGCCATTACTTAAAGTCTTAAACCCTTTTAAAAGCCTCTTGGTGTCAAGACTAAAGCGTGTATAAATAAAAATCTGAAACCTCGAAGACCCACGAAACATTCTTGAAAACTGAGTGGCCCTTTGTTAGTCTTTGCTGAGGATATCACAATGCAAGTGCTGTCAACACTAGTTGTGAACAAAATTCAAGGTGTAATTAATGTTGCTGTTGTCAAATGTCCAGGATTTGGGGAAGGAAAGAAAGCCCTGTTGCAAGATATTGCCCTTATGACAGGTTAAATTGCTTTAATTTAGGCTTTTTACAAATCCAATGATGATCAGCCATGTCTTCTATAATCGAACTTTTTTACATGTCTGCTTTATATAATTCCACCAATGATCAGCTGTGTCTTCTTTTACAAAAAATGTTAATCTGACACAAGTCCTTGGTCTATTGAGGCTGTTTAAACTCATCTGGGTGCAGTGTTGTTTGTTGCATGCTACTCCCTTTTCATTATTAAAATGTGTAATTTACATGTTGAATTCCTCCAAATCTCTCCACTGCCTCATTTTATCATCTGAAAGTATGAGTGTCTCCTTTCATATGCTCATGAAGATTGTTTTAAACGCATTACAGTATGATTAAGTGTTTCTTTAAACTTGTGTTTAGCTTTACATGCTGGCAATCTGACATCATTTCTACCTCATTAATAGCTGACTTTCTTTCTGGAGATTTGGGTATGACGCTTGTTGGTGCAACTTCTGATCAGCTTGGTGTTGCACGAAAAGTGACTATAACAAGTAATTCCACAACCATAGTTGCTGATCCTTCTATGAAAGCTGAAATCCAGGCAAGAATTATGCAGATAAAAAGGGATCTAGCTGAGACTGATAGGGCATACTTGTCGAGAAGGCTCTCAGAAAGAATTGCTAAACTCTCTGGTGGTGTAGCAGTCATTAGGGTTTGCAATCATGGCACGTACAATGCACCGAGATAGAAAGGCAGAACTAAATGTTTTACCATTCCCACATCTCTTTCTGCTTCAAATTGGTTAAACAATGTGCATCACAACTGTTGGTAGGGGCACATACTGAGACGGAACTTGAAGATCGTAAACTAAGAATTGAAGATGCAAAGAATGCCACATTTGCTGCCATCGATGAAGGGATAACACCCGGTGGTAGTGCAACTTATATACATCTCTCAGAGCAGATTCACATAATAAAGAATTTTATGGAAGACTTAGATGAGCGGATTGCTTCTGATATTGTAGCAAAAGTATGTTTCTGATTCCTTAAGATTTATGTTGGAGTCAACTGTCTCTTTATATGTATTGAAGTCTTTGAGCGTATCATTTTTTCCCTTCTTTTAGTGTTTTATGATTTCTCATTGCTTATTTGTATAGGTTATAAAGGATTAAAATTTAAGATTTTGTCTAATGGAACTGCAGGCACTCTTTACACCTTCAAAAGTAATTGCGACTAATGCAGGTGCTGATGGAGAAGTTGTAGTGGAGAAGACTAGAAATGTGATTGGCAAATTGGGTGCAATGCATGTCAGGAAGATATGAAGATCTTATCAATGCTGGAGTTGTAGATCAATGTCGAGTTTCGAGATGTATTGGATTTGTCAATTTTGATGAACGAGTTTTCTGATATCTGTTGCTGGCACTGTGAAGTCATAGACTTGTTGCTAACAAATTGATTCCTAGACTGATGCTGTGTCAATGCTCTGAAACTAGTAACATCGTACTTTTCCCTTGAGTCCAGGGAGTTGTGAATGTAATAGTAACTGTTTGACATATCAAAATCCTTAATTTTATAGAGCTTATCCAGCAATGATGCTTGGCTGGCCACTAGCATTAACACTACTGCTGCATCATTAGCAGCGCCGGCCGCCATCACAATTGTTGCCACTTGGTTATCATTTGCCCAAACGAGTTTCATCACCACCTCCACCAATGTTATGATAAACTCATCGACAAGTTATTGTTACCCATTTGTGGTAAGGTTGATGTCCGAAATCATATGACTTTAAATGGGGGTTTCCAGGGAGTAGTGTCCATAAGCAGCTGCACCTTCTCCATCAAATTTCCTTTTTGTTTTGTTTTGTTTTTTTTCCGATGCCAATAGTGAATTTCAGAGACATCAATCACTAACACCAAGAAGATTAATATAACAAACCATATCGTTGGTAAAAGAACCTCGTACCTACCATTTGGTGAACTCATCGTAAGACTTTCCTTTTGTTTCCACTACTTTACAATGCATCTGTTGAAAATCACATGCTCAAATGTAAGCAAAGCATGTCCCCATTTCCCCTTTTCAGTTTAGATAGCCTCCTCCTTTCTTGGTTGAATACTAACCACTCCTAGAAACAATGGAAACCCATAGTCTACTATTGAAGAAAATTCTAATGCTAATGAAAAAAAAATATTTAATGTATTATTAATATATAAATTTTATATATTATTATCAGTGAATTAAATGGTGTTATTTTATTAGTAAAATGTATAAGATGATATTATTTTATTAATAAATAAATTTTTTAAAAATATTATTTTTTGTATATTTATTTTAAAGATTTATATTTATTTATTAATTAATGAAATAATAATATTTGATTTATTGAATAAAATATATATTTTATTATATCAAATATAAACTTCGAAAAAGATATCAATATTTAAATTAAATCAAAAGTACTATGGTTCATTTGAAACGACTGGTTCAAACAATAAGGTTGTTTGACAAGTTAATTATCCATTATTACACTCATATTTTAACCGTAAAAAAAAGATAATGATGGTGGGGTAATGTCGAAGCCAAGTATGTGGGTCCTACTCATAACCTAAAAATAACCTGATCCATCCTTGTCGTATAGGCACTGCTTAACTTCTCCCACTAAACCAAAAAAGTCAGCTATATAGGTACTAAAATATTTTATTATTTCTTATCTTACGTATATATTTTTAACGAAAAATTATTAAATGGAGTATCAATTACAAATAAAATTAATAGAATAATATATATTTTTTATGCTATATTTAGAAAAAAAATTAATTAAAAAAATAGAATATATATTAACATATTAATCTCATTTATAAAATTATCAAATAATTTTTCAAAAGTGGACCTACCAATTCATGTGCTCCACTAATAGGCTTGGGATTTAATCAAGTACTCACGCCTGCACCATTCCAAAAAAGTTTTCGGACAAACAGAAGGCCGCCAACTGTAAATTTCGTTCTTCAACTTTGACCTAGCGCTATTCTTACCGTTACGGACGCGCTACTTTCTCAATATTAGAAAAATAAAACAATAAAAATAACAAAAAGGTTCGCCGATGTTTCTAATTTTATTACAAATAAACCGTCACTGAAAATAATAAAAAGAAACGACTACGTCTACTGCCAAGTAAGTAACGATCTCTGTTTCTCTTTCAGATCTGGAGTTGGTGCTCTTTAAAGACCAGAAAAGAAACCCCTTCTTTTCAAACCTAAACCTCTGAATTCCAACCTTACTTTTTCTCTTTCTTGCATTCTCAACACCGATTCTTTGTTTCTTGCTTTCTGTCTCTGGTTCTTTGCAAAATGTGGTAAAGAAGAAGGCATCGTTGAGCTTCAAGCGAATGCTGTGGTAAAAATCCTTTCAACTCACACGCTTTTACTTTATGTTTTAAGTTTCTAATTTTGGATTTTTTCCTTATTTTGGGGGGTTTTTTTTGGATTTTTTGTTAGTTTGTTTTAACATTGCACTATTCCTTTTTTTTTTTTTTTTACTTTGAGTTTGAAATATTTGTATTTTTTTACTTTATTTTCTTCGTTAAGCATGTTTGTAGTTAATCAAAGTGAAAGTTGATGACTTTCTGACTGAATTAAGGCATTGAATTCTTCCTCTTTGAATTGAGTGACCTGAAAACGGGGGAAAAAAGAGAGAAGAGAAACTCTATATGGTGCAGTTTGTGGGAGTATATATAATTATGGTCCTAATTGGAGCTTCCATTTTCAGAAACTTTGAGTGAATTGATTCATTCATGGCGAAATCGCGGCAATATTATTCTTCCCAAGATTCATCCTTGTCACCTACGGGTGGGAGATCGAGGGAATGGGAGGGTCCATCAAGGTGGACTGAGTACTTGGGTCCTGAAACGACTCCTCCTTTGACATCTAGGACCTCTAAATACATGAATTCTGATGGACAAGTCCAGAGTTCAGGTGGTGGATCCCATAAGGCCTTGAACATGCAGTGGGCAGGGCAACTGATTGAAGTTGCAGACGGCCTTATGGCCAAAGTTTACAGGTTAAACCAAATCTTGGACTACCCGGATCCTATAGGTCATGCATTTTCGGAAGCATTTTGGAAAGCGGGTGTGTTTCCCAACCAGCCAAGGATTTGTATATTGCTCTCAAAAAAGTTCCCAGAGCACTTCAACAAACTGCAACTTGAGCGTGTAAGAATTGAATTTTACATGTTGCTATACACAAAAGTTTGGTGGCTTTTTTCTATTGGTGAGTATCTGACTGTTCTATTATCTTGATAAATGTTGGTGCAGGTTGATAAGGCTGCTTTGGATGCTTTGAGTGATAGCGCAGAAGTTCATTTGCAGAGTTTGGAACCATGGGTTCAGGTGAGGGGTTACTTGCCCTGCAAAAACATAATCCTACTTTTGTATTATCAAAAATGGCATTTAAGGCCTATCAGAATTCATTCACTTCCTAGTTTAAGACTAAATTTTAGGATTTAGTGTCATAGCCATCTCCTATATGTGTCACTGCATAATTTAAGTTACATAGTGTCTTGTTGGCATCTTATTAGTTATATAGGCTGGATAACGTTAACTTTCTTGGTCTTCAAAAATACTGTTAGGTTTCTTCCTTACGCATAATTAGATTATGAAAATGGTTTGTTGAATCCTTGTAATAGTGATTGGTTTGTTTTCCGTGGATTAGCTCCTTCTTGATTTGATGGCATTCCGAGAACAAGCTTTGAGACTCATATTGGACTTGAGTAGTACCGTTATCACCTTGTTGGTAAGTGTGAACTCACTCTTCTATGTTGCAAGTCTTATGTTGCTTTTCAAAACACCGATTTGGTCCACCTGCATTTTGATGTTTGACTGCATAGGAGGTGAGAAAAGAAGTGATATCAGACCCATCATGTATCTAATCTAACTAGGTCCTGCTGATAGGTTTTTTGTTGTATCCTTCCTGATTAGAATAAAAATCTTGAAATTTTTATTGTCGAGGTGAAGTTGAAGAAAATGATGACTAGTTTCTGTATTATTTCTCTATTAACTTGGTACGGTCTTTTTTGCAGCCTCATCAAAATTCTCTTATACTACATGCATTTATGGATCTCTTCTGTTCCTTTGTTCGTGTCAATCTTTTTTCTGAGAAGGTAAGTCTGCCATGCATTATATTTCTCCTTGTGTGCAAGCACAAGTTTGCATGAGTTTGTGTGTGTGAGAGACAGAATCAATATTACTTACTTGAAAACTTATAGCTGTTTTCTGAAACAAGTATTTGCATGAAAAAAAAAGTGTTGCCGGTTTGCTCATGGACTTGATACCTTAATAACAGTTACCAAGGAAAATGATGCTGCAAGTTTATAATCTTTTGCATGCCATGTCAAGAAACGAACGGGACTGTGATTTTTATCATCGGTATGAACTCACTCACTACCTTTTAATCTTGCAGTTTGCTTCTAAGTATGTTGCAGTACATTTAATTGATTTCTGGCTGGTATATATTTAAATGCTTGAGGGAGATTCCTTTTTTGTTTTTTTTTTTTTTTTGAGGAAACTTGAAGGGTAATTACTTTATAGCTAGTTTTGATATAAAAACATACATTTGTTTTTATTTATTTTACTGTTGTGATTAGAAGACTGGAGCTTGAAGAAAATACTGTATAAACAATATGACTTTAAAATATTTACTACTTAGTTAGTATTATGCCTTAATGCTGGTTAGTTAATTAGTTTATTTAGCACATGACATTTATTATGACGGAAAAATCATCTTCTTTAGGATAAATGAAAGTTCCTCCCCTTTTTTATGCGAAGAAGTCATATTTATAATATGGTTGATACTGCTTTTACTTGAACATTTTTTAAAAGCAAATTGTCATATGATTGTTATTCTTGCATATTTGCAAGTAATATGGGTAATTTTCTTCCTCTGAATTTCAGGTTGGTTCAATTCATAGACTCTTATGATCCGCCATTGAAAGGATTACAAGAAGATCTCAATTTTGTCAGCCCACGTATTGGAGAGGTCATTTTCATGCTTTATCCAATGAACATGATTTTTATAATGTTCCTTGTTTTCTTTTACATTTATTTTTGATATATAACAAGATAATGATTGTTGGTGATGTTTCTGCTTCATTTTGCCCAAGTATATGCTTTGTAGTATCCTTGTCTTTTAGCCAGAAATTTTCTTCAAGTTCTCGAAAATATTAGCTGCTGGCCTGGTTTTCTGAAAGTGACCATGCCTACGTAGTGAGGAAATCTCCTCCCTGGTACTCTTGTCACCATTTATATTGATTTGTCTCTTTTCAGATTCAAATCTATTTTTTTCAAATAGTTTCTATTCTTTTTTTTTTGGAAATGATTAAAGATTTAGTCAACCATCTTGGGAAAGTTCTGGAAGAAAAGATCAATCCTCCTTTTCTTAAGATTGCGGATTAGGTCACCATCTCCATGTAGCCAAGATTCTGTTTGATGTAAATGTTTGTAACTGCCTCAAAGGAACAAAGAAATATTAACAATGCTTGAAATGGTGCTTGTAAGTTGTAATTAAGGATATAAATTTCTAATGTAGGATTATCTTTTTATAAAGTTCTACTACATATATAAATGCCCACTAGTTAGAAAGCTTTTGTCTAGTTTTGTGTTAGTGTGGTGGTTTTTATCACTTAAATATTGAATGATTGTTGCAGAACCTTATCTTTCCAAGAGCTTTAATTCCAAGAGTCACATGTGTTTATGTTAGAGATAGTTACTGATTGTTCCAATCTGTATTTCCAGGTTTTAGAGGCTGTGGGTCCTATTATTTTCCTATCCACAGACACAAGGAAGCTGCGAAATGAGGGATTTTTAAGTCCTTATCATCCTCGGTATCCGGACATTCTTACAAATTCTGCTCATCCAATGGTAAATACTGTTACTTGGAAAGATTTTGAGATTCTTTAAGATGTTTGTATTTTCCAGATAATTTCTGTTCTAAATTATTTTAGCAAATTCAAACTTTCTTTTTCCTAAAAAAGACTGCTTATTGTAACTGCATTTCTGACATCTTTTTCTATACTGCAGAGAGCCCAAGATCTGGCAAATGTTACTGCTTACAGGGAGTGGGTATTACTTGGATATTTAGTTTGTCCTGATGAGCTGCTTCGTGTCACTAGCATTGATATTGCTCTGGTAACCCCCTGATAATTCTTTTTGTTCTTTCTTCTCTTGTTGTGTTTAGTTTGCAGTTCAGATTGGTATATATGCCAATGGGTAAAATAACAATATTGATACAAATTATACTTTTTTCCTTTCAAGCTTTTTTTCTTCATACGAAAAAATCTTATAAAAATTGCCTATATCTGCATACAGGATTAACAATGTGTGCAGTGAAATAAACCAAATTATTTCTCAAAAAACAGTACCTCAACCACTTTAATTGGTGGTTTATCTCTACCTCTCTTCATTAAACCTCTGAACAGCTGTATTATGACTCATGTAGTTTGGCTTCTTTCTTTAGATAATTATCAGTTGAATATAATTTTTCCGGGCATATACTAGCAAATAAGTTATACCCATCATACAGCTGAGAAGGCTGAACTTAGAGTTCTTGAATCTTAGTAAAACTATTTGCACTCCTTTTGGGCTTTGGATTGTTCTGCTGGAAAGTGATTGGCTGTCATTATTTGTGACTTTTCATTTTTTTCTAAGCACCTATATTTATTTCATTATTGTCTGTTCTGTCCTTCTGTTTGCTTATTTTTCCCTAATGGCTTTCAGGTTGTACTCAAGGAAAATTTAGTTCTTACATTATTCAGGGATGAGGTAAGTCTTACTTTCTGAATCTGAAACTATTTTTTCTCAATTATTAATGGCTGACTCTTCTTGTAATTTTGGGCATGCAGTATGTACTATTGCATGAGGATTATCAGTTATATGTTTTGCCTCGGATATTAGAGTCAAAGAAGATGGCAAAATCAGGGCGGACGAAACAAAAAGAAGCAGATTTGGAATATAGTGTGGCCAAACAAGTTGTTAAAATGATAGGGTATGATAAGTGCCAGGATCTGTACTATATTCTCGTTTTACTTTTATGAGCTGTGATTAGAAATTGCAGAGGAAGAACTTATCATTTTGATGGTTTTCCTTTGTTCTCAGTGACACCATCATTTTGTAGCTTTATTTGTTTAATTGGTATGTTCTAACCTTCAATTTGTATAAATATGCCATAGAATTTTGCTAACTTGTCATTGAATGTGCAACTAGGACTAAATAGGTCTTGCTATTTACCACTATAGCAGCCCTCTGGAATCTGGAAGTTAGAGGGATGCAAAAGTCAAGTTCTAAGGAATGTCATGTAAATGTGTACTTGGTTGAAGATTAAGTCCAACCGAAAATCAAGTTCTTGGTAATGCGATGTTTAAAATCACTTTGCAAGTTCACATAAAGTTAGTATACAGTGGCAGCGGAAGAAGAGAAGAAACATACAGCTATAGAGGGGATGGAGAATAGAAAGATGTCTATGTCCAATGATGTTGTTTTAGATTAAAGTTCATAGTTCTAACTATGGTGCAAGTCATCGGATGTGATGACTAATATGAATCAGAAAAAAAAAAAAAAAAGAGAGAAATGCAGAAGACATGGCTTAAAATTCAATACATAAACCTATATATATGTTCACTGAGAAGACTGAATTGTGTTAATCCATATAAAAAAAGCAATCAAAGAATTTCAAGACATGAAAACATTTGATCTTTCTTTGTCTTTATGCATTTAATAAATATTTTATAAGATTACATAGTTTTTTTAAAGCTGTTGTTTCCTGTGGTTTCTGATCTACATGTCATCTTCAGCTTTAATATTAAATGGTAAATTGGTTTATGGTCTCAGTGAAGTACACGAGCAAGCATTGATATCATGTGATGCTATACACCGTGAGAGGAGAATACTACTAAAGCAAGAAATTGGTAGGATGGTGCTCTTTTTCACTGATCAACCAAGTTTATTGGCTCCAAACATTCAGGTATGATTGGTACCAGACTCGTTTAAGAACTCCTTCCTATTTAAATTTTCTCCTAGTGTGTTTCTTTCCTTCTAAAGCCTTCTTTTTTTGCGTATATTAAATTGTTCTCTTTAAAAATAAGCTCTGGATATGTAAATAATGTTTCTTGTATCTTAATTTCCAACTGGTTGGGATAGTAATGCTGTTAACATCCATTAGCCAAAGCGTTTCATCAGTTGGGCAGCATGCCTTGCAACTTTTATTGGCATTGTTTTAATTTATATATACTTCAGGAGGATATCTAACACCTTACTCTCACTGCTATCTTAACTTTATTGGCCTAAAATTACCTAATTTACTTGTATAAATTATAGAGAGAGAATTCTTCTTCTTGATGTTTTGTTTAATAATTTTCTGCTTCCCCACAGATGGTTTTTTCTGCCTTGGCATTGGCTCAATGTGAGGTTATCTGGTATTTTCAACATGTAGGAATTGCATCATCAAAATCAAAAGGTGCTCGAATGGTTCCAGTTGACATAGTAAGTAAAGTTTTTGGTCCTTATATCAATAAACCTTTTCCTTGAAGATATTTTGGCATTCTAGTTTGTGTCCTTTTCTTGTCCTTGGTTTTGCTTGTATTAATATTTAATGTTGTTGTTGGTCATTAATTGATTCTTTTCCCTTTCTTGTAAACTTTTTTACGGCTTCTTCTTCTGAATGAATAAATTGAATTATGTTATCACTAAATCTATCTTTGTGATTAAGATAACATAACCAGTTGCTTAACTTTGACAGATGATTTGTTGCAGGATCCAAATGATCCAACTATTGGGTTCTTGTTGGATGGAATGGACCATTTATGCTGTCTAGTGCGCAAGTATATTGCAGGTAGTCTCTTTTTTTATATAAACAAACTATTGACAAGGGTGAATAAATGAAGCTTACTTTTCATCTAGAAGATGCATGTTATAGACTTTTCATCTAGAAGATGCATGTTATAGATAGACAAATATGAAAAGATCTCTGAGTATGTGTCGACGTGAATGTGTAACTTTCAAGATGCTGGCATTTCTTGTGTCAAAGGCTGAAGGATGGTAAAGGCATCTTGGAAGGAGAGAATGCAAAAGCATTCCCTCAAAATGTGGGAACATGGAAAAGAAGGCAGTAGACTACACCATGGCATCATAAATCCATCAAGGAGGCCTAAATGTCACCAAAAGCTTCCAGTGCATCTGCCTTTTGTTAAGCAAGAAACATCCATTTTCATTCACTCATCGAAATAAATATCTTTCAAATAAAAAACTTAGTAAGCAAAATCTAGGCCAAAGCAGGTCTACTCCCTGTTACTGGGTAAAATCTTCGAAAATATAGTGTCTGTTAACACTGATGCCATGGCTAATGATTTAGTTATAAATTTATCTCTATTTCTATTCACTGCTATAATGTTGGTCACATGCTTTTCAGTGCTGATATTACACTATGCTGTTCTTTTAATGCATGAAAATTTTCACACAAGTTAATTGTAATTTTAAGATTTTACATCTTTCAATGCAGCAATTCGAGGTTATGCATTATCATATCTCTCTTCCTGTGCTGGTAGAATCCGGTTTTTGCTTGGAGCTCCTGGAATGGTGGCTCTTGATCTTGATGCAACCTTGAAAACACTTTTTCAGCAGATTGTCCAGCACCTTGAAAATATACCCAAGCCGCAGGGTGAAAATATTTCTGCAATCACATGTGACCTATCTGTATGGAATCTATAAACCATTTTTTCCGCTTTCAAGGATGAATCCATAAATCTATACTAAATAATAATAGGAATAGCTGAGTTTGGTGTAATATGTACTGCCTATGTAGCTAGTATTAGCTGACGTAGTCTCTCTAGTTGCATAGCCTTTTGTTCATAGTTAATGGCATATTAAGCCACAAGGAATAGTTTATATATATAAATATAATATTCATACATACATATATATATGTGTGTGTGTGTATTATATTTGTGAAATGATTCCAACTTATGCATCTACTTGGTCCACAAATATGTGCTCCATGTTTTACTATAGTTTTCAAAGATATTCTCTTATACTGGTTCCTCTCTGATTGTAGGGAACGTTGGACATTGAACTTATTCTCTGTTATTTAAACACCTTTGTTCTCTGATATACATGTGCGGGAGAACATTTTCATCCATTTTATTAAAGTTGTTTTAGAAGTATTCTTTATGCTGCTGTTATCACTTTGCTTTACCATTACCAAAATGCATCTAGAAGTAGCTTGTTTATGATTGTTTGCCTAATCGAAAATCATATGTGATTCTTAACCAGGACTTCCGTAAAGATTGGTTATCTATATTGATTATTGTTACATCTGCTCGATCATCTATAAACATAAGACATTTGGAGAAAGCTACTGTCTCCACCGGAAAGGAAGGGTTACTATCAGAAGGAAATGCGGCATACAATTGGTCCAGGTGCCCTGACTTTGATTCACATGATAACTCACCCAAATACATTAACTGCACTCAATATGTTTTGTGATATGGGAAAATAAATTTTCATTTCGTTTTTAAGGAACAATTTACTTTGAAAAGATGAGTTATACAGTAGTTTTCATGTGTTTTTTGCATATTGGGAACATCAGTTTGTTTATGCATAGCTGTTGTAGCATGTGTTAACAGATGTTGAGAATGATGATACTCCAGCATTGCCACTGTTACCAAGGAAAATTTTTTAACATATAATGTATCTTATCTCCAATAATTGATATTTGAAGGTCTTCATGAATGGAGCAATTGATAGAGTTCATGATAAACCCGCATGTCCAGTTTTCTCATTCCTTCGAAAACAATTCTTATGTCCAAAGTCACTCTTTTGTCTGATCTGGAAATTCTGTTAAGTAAACTCAATTTCATATTCTTTCAAAATTAAAAGCCTATCAACCTAACACCTAAACAAACTCATACAGTTTTGTTTTGTTATGTTAAAAACACAGTGATAAAATATATGGATCTTTTTCAATGCAGATGTGTTGATGAATTAGAGTCTCATTTGTCAAAGCATGGTAGTCTCAAAAAGCTATATTTCTACCACCAACACCTTACAGCAGTATGCTTTGAAACTCTTTTCCTGTTCTTTCTATTGAAATATCTTGCATGTAATAGTGACTTCTATAAACCTGTTGTAATAGGTCTTTAGAAACACTATGTTTGGACCAGAGGGGCGTCCCCAGCACTGCTGTGCATGGCTTGGTGTTGCTAGTAGTTTTCCAGAGTGTGCATCTTCAATTGTTCCAGAAGAGGTAATGATTTAATTAAACCAGCAGCATGAAACACCCCAACCTTTCCGCACATGTCATAGTCTTTCATCCTCTATTATTCAAGTGATTGCACAAACTCCACACGTTGGTGTACTTACCATTCTGACAAGTTATGACTTACGACCTGTATTGTTTGGAGCGTATTAATGCTTAATCTCTAGTATCTCTTTTGTTTTTTCCTCTAATTAGAAGGAAACATTAAAGGGGGAAAGTTGGTATCTGCTTTATATTTATCATAATAATCAGGTGACAAAAATTGGGCGAGATGCAGTCCTATATGTTGAGTCTCTCATTGAATCAATCATGGGAGGATTGGAAGGTCTAATAAACATCCTTGATTCTGAAGGTGGATTTGGGGCTTTGGAGATGCAGGTTGGTATTTAATTCATGTTCCAGTATAAACTACTTGAAGATGATTACCATTTTATAAACCTAACTTTTCAAGTTATCTCAGCTTCTTCCAGAGCAAGCAGCATTTTATTTGAATAATGCTTCCAGAGTTTCAATTCCTTCAGCAAAATCCCCAAAAGGAGCAGTTGGTTATCCTTTGCCAGGCCATGAGAGTTATCCAGAAAATAACAATTCAATCAAAATGTAAGGCGCTTGCCTGAACTTTTCCTTTCTTTGCCGTGATCATCTGGATCAATAAGTTAATAGTGTCAACTCTTGTTTTATTCTAGGTTGGAGGCTGCAATGCAGAGGTTGACCAATTTGTGTTCAGTCTTGAATGATATGGAACCTATATGTGTTCTGAACCATGTCTTTGTTCTGAGGGAGGTGGGTTGTGCTAAATCTGTCTCTGGCCCTTTTTTGCAGCGGTAGTTAGATGTGAGCCTGGCCTGTTGGTTTCCTAGAATATGTTTCCATTTCATTTACAATTCCACTGATAGGTTCCAAGTTGGCTATTATATTCTGCTAACTTGCTTGGTAAATTGGTGTTCAAGTTATTAGGTGGTTTTTTTAAGCGGCTATTTAACATATTAGTTGAAAGCAAGATTATCTTGCTTATTTTTCTTGTTGTGGTGTGGTCATCTGTGGTCAAATATTCCAAGAAGGCCATTAGGTAATTCATATGTTTTAATTATAATATTCTCATCATATGTGCAGTACATGAGGGAATGCATCCTCGGGAACTTCAGAAGGAGAGTACTTGCAGTACTGAAAACTGATAATGATCTTCAAAGGCCCTCTATTCTAGAATCACTGATCCGCAGACACATGAATATAGTCCATCTAGCAGAACAGCACATTAGCATGGATCTAACACAAGGAATTCGAGAAGTTTTACTCTCCGAGACCTTCTCCGGACCTGTTTCTTCTCTGCATCTATTTGACAAACCAGCAGAGCAACATACTGGATCAGCCACAGAGGTTGTCTGCAACTGGTACATAGAAAACATCGTGAAGGATATGTCCGGTGCTGGAATTCTGTTTGCACCCATGCACAAATGCTTCAAAAGCACGAGACCAGTTGGTGGATATTTTGCTGAGTCCGTCACTGATCTTGGAGAATTGCAGGCATTTGTTCGTATTTTTGGTGGTTATGGAGTTGACAGACTAGATAGAATGATGAAAGAACACACTGCTGCCCTGTTGAATTGCATAGACACATCATTACGGTCAAATCGTGAGTTGTTAGAAGCAGTTGCTGGCAGCATGCATTCTGGTGACAGAATAGAAAAAGAAGCTTGTTTGAAGCAAATTGTGGATTTGGATACAATAATTGGTTTTTGTATTGAGGCAGGACAGGCTTTGGCTTTTGATAAACTTTTAGCTGAAGCTGCTGGAGCTGTGCTTGAAGAAGGTGCGCCCTTATTTTATTCGTTGCTTGCTGGTGTAGTTAAGCATATACCTGAAGAAATACCTGAAAAGAGGGAAATCAGAAGAATGAGGGGGGCAGCAAACAGTGTTGCTCTTGCTGGTGATCATGACTCTGAGTGGGTTAGATCTATTTTGGAAGAAGTTGGAGGTGCAAATGATGGGTCCTGGAACTTGTTGCCTTATTTATTTGCCACCTTCATGACATCAAATATCTGGAACACGACTGGCTTCAATGTTGACACGGGGGGTTTCAACAACAATATTCATTGTTTGGCAAGGTTGGTTCCCTTTCTGATTTTCTTTTTTTTTTTAATAAAGAAAAAAAAAAATTTTGGGGTGACTGAGTTCCAGAGACCATGGGATGTTGCATTACAAACTGAATGCCTTGTAGCTAGTATATCTAACCCAACAAATATTGACTGGTTGGTTTATCATTTAATAGTTCAAAATCTCTCTTATAATTGTAAAATGAGAGGCTTGATAAGCCTCATGTAGGTGCTACTTTTATTTTGCATGGAATACTTCCTGACCTGCTCACCAGCTTTGGTTGTTTTTGTCAAAATTGTGGCTTCTTGATGATGTCATTCAGGAGACAACTTTCTATTAGACTGTTGATCATTACTACTCAAGCTTTGCTTCTGTATGGATTGTTGTGAAGAGAGGGGGTTGCAATATGATGTTTGACTGGAGTGCTAATAGTTTTAACTTGACAGGTGCATTAATGCTGTATTAGCCGGAAGTGAGCATGTTCGATTGGCACGTGAACGTCACCAGAGACAGTTGCTCTCAAATGGTCATGTTGGTAATGGTGACAGTTTGGATCCTGATATACGTGTGTCAGCAGAAGCTAGTATAAAATCTGCAATGCAGCTATTTGTTAAATTCTCGGCGGGAATTGTACTAGATTCATGGAATGAAGCTAACAGGTACATTATACTGATATCTGTACAGTCCCTTCATGCCATTTTTTTTCTTTAATTGTAGAACTTTCACTTGAGACCTATGCTAACCATAGCTGGAGCACTAGCGCTTACTGATGCTTCTGAAGTCTGCTTCAATTCCTCTTAGCATGTCTTAAAATACTATCTAAATCTTAATTTTGACATCTTCTTGACGGATCTTATTAATAAGCGTTTTTTTTGGGTACAATATTAATAAGCTTTTTAAAATGTCAACATATTGAGTTTCTTTTTGTTTGATAAATTTTATGAGCTATATTACATGTGAAACTTGAAACAAATCATCACAAACCAATATTGACATCTCATCTGTATGCATATCCTGTTGTTATAATACTATTGCGAAGTGTTGATATTCGTCCTTTGATATGTGCAGAACTCATCGAGTAGCCAAGCTTATTTTTCTTGACCAACTCTGTGACATTTCACCATACCTTCCAAGAAGCTGTCTCGAAACCCACGTTCCTTATGCTATTCTTCATTCAATATATAGCCAGTACTATGCAAACTCTCCTTTGATGCCACTGGCATTATTAAGTGCTTCACCTCGCCATTCACCTGCTGTATCGTTGGCACATGCATCCCCTATAATGAGGCAACCCCGTGGAGATTCAACTCCACAGTATAGTGCCAATGATTCAGGTTACTTTAAAGGATCATCATCACACAGCCAAGAGCACCCTTATGATGCCGAAAGTGGAAGTCTACGGGGAGTTGGAACTAAACATAGAAATGTTCGCCGGTCTGGGCCTTTGGATTACAGTTCAAGCCGTAAAGTCAAGTACCCTGAAGGATCGACTTCAGGAAGCACAGGTCCCAGTCCGCTGCCAAGGTTTGCTGTATCAAGGTCTGGTCCAATATCATATAAGTGAGATGATGGTCAACATCAAGAAGGAATACAGTGCTAAATTATCTGCCTCTTGTCAATGATTAGGAATTAGTTCATAAAATTAGGGTTCAGCACACAAATTTTGGTAAAATGTATATGTAAATGCCCTTGCACTGCTTTTATTACACTGTTCTTTTTCCTGTAAGTTAATGTTAAATATTATTTCTTGTGCCTAGGCTGTTTATCCAACCAGTTTCGTTGAAGCCAACCATTTATGGCGGTTGCGTGGTTGGTACAGATCTTAGTTTCAGCTACGATGCTGCAATTTGTATTAAAAAAATAAACACTAGGTTTGCCAGAGAAGGTGATTCTCATGGATCTCCCCGTGGATTATTTTGTGCTTTTCCTAACTGTACCTTAGCAAGTTGGCTACAGCCCTCTTTGCCTTGGCTTGAAGGGTTTGTGTTAAGAAATTCGGAATGGAATTGCCGCCATATTCATTATGGTCCGACCGGCTCTGGGTCTGTATGAATATTTTTTCATACTAACAGAAACCCATTAAGTCAAGGCAAAGGGGGCCTCCCAATTTCTCGCCCAAGACTCAACAAAAGTCTGTGGGCCGAGTATTCAAACCATTTCGTGGCATTCAAAGGGTGATCCAATCCTTCCTTCACAGCATTGATTGTAGATGGTTCTTCTATTTATGTCTTTCGGGATTGATTGTATATTACAATCAGTTATGACTATAAAACTTACGCTATGAAGTTGTTTAAGACATTAAAATACAAGCTCGAACAAGCACGTGGACGAAATAGGTTGGGAATATGCAAATACTGGACTTGCAACAAGCTGAGAAATGCATAATCAAAGTTGTGAATACACTTTAAGAGCATATACTACCACTGATCAGCGAAGATGATGCCTGTAAAATAAAGATAAAACTTGTAACTAGAGTTATCATCATAGTTTTTTATTTGTTTTGCTGTTCATACTCATGTTTGTAATTATACCTCTCTTTTTCTCTCCCTATATATCTCTCTTCAGGTCAATCAGTATATCATCTTCGCTTGCATGTCGTAGGTGGGAGGAAGATGAAATGGTCACCCAGTTAAAGCTAGCGTTGAAGCACATGTACATTTGCTGAAACTTAATTATATGTCTTCAATTTCCTTTGTGCTTTCTCCCTCTCTGTCTCTCTCCTCCTCTTTTATATCCTCATTTCCTTTGTCTTCCAATCCCAATGTTTTAGATAATTAAATTTAAGTTATATAATTTGTTAGCAAAATATTACTTCATTTGACTGATGAACTATGCCATGAAATGTCTTCACAATGGCAATCTGTTAAGTCAAATGCCAATGTTTTTTTTTTTAAATTTTATTTTCTATTTTGGTTTTTTTGGTACAGACAAATGGGAGCGTGCTATCAGTTAGTGAGCTAAATTCCTAAACAAAGAATATTAAGGAAATAAATAAAAGCAATTATGTATATTTAACCAATATATAAAAGCAATTTTGCTTAAATGATGTAATTTTGAGCTTCAAAAGGAAAAAAAAAATTTGCTTAGATACAATAAAAGTTACGTAATTTTGAAAAAAAAAGGGGGTGGAAGATTTTAATCCAAACCATAATTTAACCAATACATAATAGGCCATGATAATGTGTATTTTAACATGTGTTAAAATAAGGTAATTTTTGTACTGATGTTTTGACTAAATCTGCTTTTAGGATTATAAATTTTTTTAATTTAATGTGCTTCTTTTTTGCATATACTTAAAAGCTTGATTTTCTTTTTGAAATTTTATAATATTTTAGCTTTATTTGAAAAAAGGTTTATCAATTCCATCAGCGTAGCTGCATGACAACCAATCACCTTCACCAATCGATTGAGCCAAAGTTAGGTACAGAGAGAAGCGCAGAGATGGTAAATTCAACGGGAGAACAGATTCAAATAATAAATTTCATTAAAAAAAAATACGGTCTATATAAAGGTATTAATTTTGGCGGGCCATGCTCCGTTGCTACCCATTGGCTACGCCGCTGACAATCTATCATCGCTTCGAGGAAGTTGTTCCTTACTTAGTTGATAAAATAAAAAAAAAAGACTTCAGCATTGACTCCGTGCATATCCGTCTTGAATTGCAAGTTCGCAACCTGATCGATTCTGACTGGTCTAGTACGTCTTTCATCTCAAAATGAGAAACGGCTCGCTTACAAGGTTGCTTTTGCCTAAGATAAGCAGAACCTTTCATGGCATTGCCAAAAGAAGGGATCCACAACACTTAAATCCAGGGGAACCCATTGGAGTTTCTAAGTGGAAAGCTGCGTTGGAGGAGGAGTTGGAGGTTAAATTTCCCAAAGACAGACAAAATGCCTGCATATACAGGGTCCCTGTAAACATACGTGAGGTGCAACCCAACGCCTATACTCCCAATATCATCTCAATCGGTCCTTACCATCATGGAGAGGAAAGATTAAAAGAAATGGAAGAGCTGAAATGGGAATTCTTTCATCGCCTGTTTCGTCTAGAACCGCCTAATGGGATCGAATTAGACCCAGTGATGAAAGCCATGGAAGATTTGGAGCAGGATGCTCGTAGGTGCTACTGGGATAAAGCTGAAAAACATAGCAAGGATAAATTTGTTAGGATGATGCTCTTTGATGGCTGCTTCATTGTCGAGCTCTTCAGAGAGTTAAAGCGGAACAACTTTCACCATGCCCGATCTGTTAAAAGGTGGATGCTGCCAACTCTTCGCCGAGATTTGATCATGCTTGAAAACCAGCTACCTCTATTTGTTTTACAGAAATTGTTCGAGTTGACCAGAAGATCAGACGAGTCAACCACATCTTTGGAAGACCTTGCCCTCTGCTTTTTCCATCCTCTACTGCAGAAGGAGTCAAACTTTGACGTGCGGAGCGTAAATGCTCAAGGATTTGAGAAAAGGCAGCACTTTATCGACCTTTTTAGGCTCAGCATCCTCCCAAGATACTTACCAGGAGCGGAGGAAACTGGCAAGACAAGTGAATATTGCAGTAAAGCAGCAAAACATACAACAGAAGAAGGAATAAAAACTAGCAAGACAAGAAATTCAAGCAACGGAGCAAAGAACATAGCAAGAGAGGGAATTACTGGAGAGGGAACTGACATGATGCGGTCCATGACGGAGCTGATGGAAGCTGGTGTCGTCATAGAGAAAGCCATTAATTGTCCTCCATTGGATGTACGCTCTGAAGAAAGGTGGCTGAAAATCCCTCCTCTCTACATCGATGATTACAAAGGAACCCTGTTTCGAAACATGGTTGCCTATGAACAATGCCATCCAGAGTGCAAACCATATGTCACATCGTATTTGTTCTTCTTTGATGGGCTAATTAACTCAGCTCCTGATGTGGAACTTCTTCGCCACAAAGGAGTTCTCCACCATTCTTTAGGTAACAACAAAGAAGTGGCAAAACTTGTGAATGGCCTCTGCAAGGAAATAGCAAGTGATGGTAGGGATTCCTATTTACAAAAAGTGGTATCCGATGTTAATTCTTATTATGATTCCTCTTATGCTAGGATTAGAGCACGGTTGGTGCACTATTACTTTAGAAGCTGGGTGGTTGGCATCTCCACTTTTGGGGCTTTGTTAGTCCTTTATCTCACCCTAATTCAGACCGGCTTTGGATTTATAGGCGACCACAAGAACCTTGAAAAACCCTTTCATCATTACCTTATGCATTGCCTGATTCTGCCTGTCTACCATCTATTTACGTTCAAGAAAGAGGACACGGATTCTAAGCCTGAGTCACAGGATGCTTCTAAGATAAGACATTGGATGTTTTCAGTTTGATGTACTTCTTTTTTAGCTTTTTCTTCGCCAAGTTTTATGTCAGATACAAAGCCCAGGCCTCAGAACTAGATACTAACTATTAGACATTAGTCAACCACAGCTTTGATATGGTGTAATAAGGAGGCTTTGGGTCTGCATCTTTTCTTAATTTTTTTTTCATTAACAATGAATGATAAGGGGGCTTTAATTTGATTGGGAATTGCTCTCTCTTTGATTTCGTTTACATAGTTGACAAATTATCTCTAAAAGAAACTTCATGGACGGTGAACTTGACCGCTGACTTAATTCATCATGTCTTCATCTGTAACTTACAATGTGCGAGATTATCTTTGATCTGAATTTTAAAATTTTACATTTGTAATTCTTTTTCAGTTTCCCAACCTCTTTTCAATCTTCAACAAAAAAATAATAAAAAATCATGGACGGTCTTCCAACTCTTTGTGGAAGAAAAGTTTTTTTTTTTTTTTTTTTTTTCCTTTTGAATGTTGGAAATTTTGAAAATTTTTTTTGCTAAATGCAAGGTAGCAGAGCCAGCAGTATCATATTCATACCCCTATCTATTGTGATTATTAAATTGATGATCATTTGTGTAATCTTTGCTATTTTATTTACATTTTAGTTTTCATGTTACTTGTAATAGTACTTATAAATCCAGTTTACGTAGTTGATTTTTTGTCAATTATTTTTAATAATGAGATATATACCATTCTAGAAGCACCAATCAATCCATAACATAAAAAATATTATATGATTTTAATTTCACATTTGTGCGTTTTTTAAAAAATTATAGATTGAAAATACATGAAAGGTTTGTAAGCGTTATAATTTAAATTTCAAATCTATTAAATGTCTCATATGAATCAAAACTATATAAATAAATTAAATTAAGTGCATGTATTTATATTTTAAATTAAAAAACTAATGATTAAGGCAAAAAGAAATGCAATAAATTAGGGACCTAATGCATTCCAAAGCCAAATACTTTGGTCATACAAATGTGTATGGAATATAAACTTAAAAAAAAAAAAGAAAAAAGAGAAAATTATATGGATGACTTTCCTCCCTTGTGGACGATAAGTTTTGTTTTATATCTTATAAAAGACTGAAATTTGTATGAAAGATAAGAGTCAATTCATAAGGAAGAGGATTGAAAAATATACTGGAGTGAACGGAAAATTTAAACCAACATTAGGTAACAACTAACAAAATATTATTAATGAAAGGAAAATGTCATATGTTGATGATGATTTTAACAGAAATTTATTGTCAGTCTACAGAGTAAAATATATACACATGGCAAGACTTTGCTGGGAAAGTGATCCTTTTTATTATCTAAGTATCCATGACATTGCTCCGAAAGTGATCCTTTATACTAAGTATTCATTTATCTGATTTTTGTAATTTGCTTATTCAAATTAAGTTGAATTCTCTTTGACTATTGATCGTTTGAGTAAACAAACAAACAAACAAAAATTTTCTGTTGCGTTAGGTTAGGTGTGTATGATGAGAATGCTATAAAAACTGGTCTAATTCCTGATTATCTATCAAATTAGTTCTCGCTCATTGTCACTGCATAATAATAATCTCTTCGAATTAAGGTTAATTTCCTTTGACACGGTTGAACTTGAAGATGAAGGTAAGTCCAATTATTACTTCCAAAAAGTAGCATATACATCACATAGGCCTAATTGTATCAACACTTTATTAATTGGTTTTGTGTAAGCAATTATGATTAATTGTTACTTTTTATTTAATACTAATTCCTTGGCAGAAAAAGATAGTTATTAGGATGCAACAGAGGAGCAGCTCCAGCCCCAAACGATTTTTTTGCAGCTGCATTAAGGGGAAGCCTGATGAGGAAGAGGCGTTCCAAACCAAAGTATTGAAGAAAATAGCTGAAACTTATGGTGGTTATTGTTGCTGCTGCTTCTTCTTCTGGTTTTATTTAAACTAATGAATATTTTGGGAAATTAATTTATATAATATCTAACATATGGTTTTATACTTTTTCTTAATATTAATGAAATGTAGGTGTGATATCAGTTACTTGGGAAGGAGATGGAAAAGATAAAGCTGTGGTGATTGGAGAAGGAATTGATGCAACCAAACTGACAAGCATTCTGAGGAAGTACGTTGGCGAAGCCCATATAGAAAGTATGGAGGTAGTGAAAGAAAAGAAAGAAGAACCAGAAATTAAAATTGAATATCTTACTTCACCAATTGTATACTCTCCAGCCTACTTCGGATCTCCGCTCGTAGCTGTGTACCCTTGATTTAGCATGCACCTTTTGTTGATGGACGACCATTCCATCAACGTGCCTGCTTTTTCTTTCTTGAATGTTTAGTTCTTCATCTCATTTCATCATTTTTTACTCTCTCTCTCTCTCTCTCTCATTTGGATGATATTAATTATTATGTCATAATACGTGGATTAAGTTTCATGAGAAGTTATCATGAAATCTACAAATTTCAGAACTCAATAAAAGCATTGATTTTATATTGTGTGAAGGCAAGGCAATTGAGGAACTCATTAGATCTCATTTGCATAGGATGTTATTTGTTTGCAGGCATGCAATTATATCTAACAAATTAAAAGGAGAGGCAATAAAAGAGAGATTTATGATTTTATGTTTGATATTAATAATTTATATATTACTCAAATTTAATGAGATTCGATATTTTAAATTTTAAAATTTTTTCAAATTCAACTTAAATCGAAAAAATAAATTTCAAACTCATTTATCAAACTTAATTTATATAATAAAAAATTAAAATAAAATTTAAAATAAAATATAAAATTTTAAATAAACAATTTAAATTTATATATTGATATAATTATAGCATTTTAATTATATACTATTTAAGCAAAACTCGAAGTGTAATTTTTTTTTTTAAGCCCAACCTGAAATTTAAACTAAAAATTATACTTAAACTCATTTAACAAACTTTAATTTCTTATCAAACCCTCCAAAAACTTGAATGGACTTTCGATCATTGAACAGGTCTAGCCAATAACAAAGAACTTTATTATAAACCTAATAAAATTACTGAATCGGAATACACCAACAAAATATATAATGACGAAAACATACTACACCAATCCTTACCGGCAAAGGTGTCCATACAAGCTATACTGTAACAGAAAGAGAATTTAGAACAATAAAATTAAAAGTCCAGCATCAGTGATCTCCAAATTTTATAAAGATGCAAAAAAGGAGTAGCTGTTTGAATCACTGAACTTGCGCTGAAGTGCGCCACGACCTATCATTCACACGACTTGGTAATTCTCTGTAATCAAATTTGTCCTCTGGGAGAACTTGGGAGGAGCTCCACCTCTCAAGGGAATGATGTTCACAACCTACACCAATAATTCTCTCCAATAAGTGAATCTGTACGAGGCATTGATTCAACAAGGTATGGGAAGAACCTTTTTTTGCACTTAAAAGTCCCAAAATTAAAAATGATCATGATATTGAAGTAATTAGAAAGTTTTAACGGTGCAATTTAGCTGACACAGGCATGAGGTACTGGAAGCCTCCACAGATATGATCCAACCACAATATCCCAACTTTAAAAAAAGCAAAAAAAAAAAAACAAAAGTAAATAAAACTTCATATCAAACCTTCAGGTCACTGTATGTACTAGTAGCTGAAAAACGGACAGAAATGGGAAAGAACACTGATGAATCTGCTGGAGGCACAACAAACTCCATTGATCCACTGCCAATATGTCAGAAGAAAGAAATACTTATAAACCAATAGCATCTTTATAATATCCAATACAAGAACTTTAGCAGTGTTAAACAATGGACTGACCTGCGGTTAGAGTTATCAATGAGAAGTATGGACCATTCCAAGATGGAATTTCTGGAGTCATACCTGTGCAAGACAAACAAGAAAATATAAATAATATAGTGCACATAAAAACTGTTTCCAACTTCAACTGTATTACACATCATCTTAGTATTTTCACTTTAGCCCAAAGTTTTTTGGTAACATCTTATGAAGATATACCCATAGAGTTCCAGATTAAGGCTTGGTTGAGCTGAATTCAGTTTATTAATCTCATTGACTACAAATTGACAATCTTACTTCCATCTGGTGTAAAAATTTTGAAATGACAACAATTTACCTCCATTCACCATCAATCTGCCTGACATTTGGTGCCTCCCGAAGAGCAGGGAGAGGTACAGATATCAGCACATTTCGTAGATCAAACATGGCTGAAGCTTCATATTCAATGCTGACATAAGTTTCATTTCCAGAAACTGAAGGCCAGCAGTTGACTGCAACAAACCAAAAACTCATATTAACCCATCAAAGCATACAATAGCAATTATATATCAAGAATAAACAGCATTAGATTTGAAACCCACTGGTCAATGGCACCATTGACTCATCTGCACTTTGCATTCTCCACTTCAAAAGACCAACACCAGCTGCATCCCCAGCTGGACCAGTGGGGAAAGGCCTATTAGGGTCCTTCAACCCTAGAATGTTTTCATTGGAAAACAATTCCTTGTTCATGTTGGGATGCGTCTTGAAGAGAATGCCAGGATTACCCCCAGTTTCAATCTGAAAATAAAGCATGAAAATTGATTAATTCAATGCTGTAAAAGTATTCTGACAGACTCGATCTGAAAACTAAGCATGCAAGAAAAATGGTAAACTCATGCTGCAAAGGCATTAGAAGAAAGGTATATTATACTTTGAAGACATGATTACTGTTAAGTGATGTGTGAATAGGAAGAACTGGCATGTCTTTCAATGGTAATACCATTATGGATTAAGGTCAATGTACCCAGGGATTTGAAATGTATTGGCCAGGTGTGAAACAACATAACAAAGAAAGGAAGCAAATACAAGAAACTAGTAATCTGTCATGATTAATGTGAATAGATTAAATTACTTCTCATGACCCAACAAAAGATATTGGCCCACAAAAAATGCAGAAAATAGTAGATCAGAAAGACCTGCTCTCTTATCTCTTCAAAGCACATTATTCAATGAGGAAAACCTACTAATTTTTGGAGCCAAATGGGTAGCCAAGATTTGAACCGAACAAAACTCCAGGTTAATTCACCAGCATCGAAGCATAATTTTCGAAGTCAAAATCTTTGAAAGATACTTGTGAATTCTCACACCAGTAAAAACCAAACTGTTACCTGAACTTGGATGAGTCCATCTTCCTGGT